GAAAATTTTTATTAATAAAAAGTGAAAATGTCTGAATATGGCCATATTAACGGAGTTCACAGTTTTGCAAAAAATTTTAGAAATGTTTTAGACAGACTTAGGCCTAGTAGAAAAGAATTGAACGAAGCTTCAAAGCTACAGTTGATCAATAGATTGACTGAATTTAGGCATAGCTTCAAAAATGTACAAGAGTGTCTCAACTTTGCTGATAACAAAAAGAGGAAACATGAAGATGACGAAGATGATAATAACGTAGTAAAAAGAATTATTTTATTTTTAGAAAATGATGATAGTGAGACAAGTTCCACACAAACTCCAGTGAAAGAAAACAATGAAAATGATTACAAAGTCAGAAGAGAAAAGATTATTTTAGCAACTGATGAAGATAAGCCACACAGAGTACAAAAGGCTCAAAGTGAAAGTGATATAAAATTTGTAGCCAATATGATTAATAATGATAAAGATGATGATGAAAATGACATAAAATTGGTAGCAAATATCAGTGATGATGATCACGATGACGACGATGAAAAAGAGCAAGAGGAACAAACCAGTTTAACCAGCAATAACTGATTTTAATTTTTTTTCTAGTTTTCTTTCGCAACAGTCTACTAGATGGTTTATTTTTTTTAGTTTTATTTTTTAGTATCTCATGCTTCGTGTTTTTGCTATTTAAGAACTTTAAAATTTAGAATTATTTATAGATTCGCAGTCTAGAAAATTTATCTTAAATAGATAAATTAAAGAACAAATAAACATATAGAGGCTCTTATATGTAACGCTCCCTTATACATTCGTTACACAAAATACTTAAAAATGAGACGAGAACCTGACTACAACCGACCGTCAACACACACACACTCAACTATTAAATAACTAAAACAATGAAAATGATTACAAAGTCAGAAGAGAAAAGATTATTTTAGCAACTGATGAAGATAAGCCACACAGAGTACAAAAGGCTCAAAGTGAAAGTGACTAAAAAGCCAAACTGATTAATGATGACGAGGATTATTATCACGATGATTATTATCACGATGATTATGATCTAGATGATGAAAACTCGGTACAAAATGCTCAAGATGAAAGTGACACTTAGAAAACTTAGCTACACTTTACAAAATGCTCGAATATTCAAAAAATGCACAATTTCGAGAACTCTCTGTATAACGTTAAAAAAACTATTTTATGAAACAACTTTTATAATATATTTAAGTTTTCATATTTTATATAAAAACTTAAGTTATTATTATCATTCAATTAAATTTCAAAAAAAAAATTTTAATGGGTTAATTTTTTCATCGGACAACACAACAATACAATTAGTAGTAAAATTAAAATATTTTTCATTTTGTATAACGTTTTGTAGACCTCATAGAAGAACCTGTTGCAAACTAGTTATTTAAGATTTTTTAGTGAAAAATAAATTATCAATTAGAAATTTTACAACGAAACCTATCAAAGCAGGCCAAGTAGCCGAAAATATTTTATCATTGGTTGCATACAATGACCAGCTCAGTGTATAAGAGAAGTGGGCAGTGGCGTCACTAGGGTTTGTGTCACCCGGTGCGGTAACTCATGGTGTCATCCCTCTCATGACACCGACACCCCATAGACATAGAGCATTCTTAGCAACATTTATAAACTTCAACTTTTCTATTATGAATTTTTACATATCTGATAATTTCAGACATTTGGTCAGTGTGTGATGCGTCAGGTTTTATATCCATGATAAGCTTCATCCTCATCATCATCATCATCATCATCTTGATCATAACCATATTGATAATAATCATCGTGATCATCGTCATCATTAATAACATTGGATACCAATTTTATGTCATTTTTCATCTTCAGCATTTTGTACTGAGTTTTCGTCATCTAGATCATAATCATCGTGATCATAATCATCGTGATAATAATCATCGTAATCATTATCATCATTAATCAGTTTGGCTACCAATTATGATCACGATGATTATGATCACGATGACGATGACGAAAAATCAGTACAAAATGCTCAAGATGAAAGTGACATAAAATTTGTAACCAATATGTTTGATGATGATGATCAGGATGATTATGATCATGATGACAATGATAAAAACCCAGAACAAAATACTCAAGATGAAAGTGACATAAAATTTGTAGCCAATATGATTAATGATGAGGATGATGATGAAGGTGACATAAAATGGTTTATTTTTTTTAGTTTTATTTTTTAGTATTTCTGTAACTAGAGCTAGATAGCCTGTAACGAGGGCTAGATTGATTGTAACCAAATTTAGATGAACTGTAACCAGGGCTGGATGAGCTGTACCAGGACTAGACGAATTTTAACTAGGATTTGATGAATTGTAAACAGAACTGGGTGGTTTGTAACCAAAATTAGATAAGCTGTAACTTACGCAAGGTGAAAGGTAACGTGGGCTAGATGGATTGTAACCAAATTTAGATGGACTGTAACCAGGGCTAGATGGATTGTAACCAGGGCTAGATGGATTGTAACCAGGACTAAATGATTTAGAGCCAGACCTGGATGGGCTGTAATTAGAGTTAAATGGTTTGTAACCAGGATTAGATGGTTTGTAACCAAAAGTAGATGGAATGTAACGAGGACTATATGGGCTGTAAACAGGGCTAGATGGGTTGGAGCTTGGTGAAAATGTTTGCAATGTTGGCAAATAACTTAGTAATGTTGATGAGTATGATGGTGATGTCGGGAAATAAGTTGATGATATTGGAGAACAATACTGCGATGCAGGGGAGTAAGCCGGTGGTGATAATGGTGAACCCGACAGTGTGAGGTTGGGTAATATTTCGGTGAAATTGGTGATAAAGAATACGACGGTGAGGTCATCAAATCCATTTGAGAGTTTGGTGGCAATCCTTGATGTCTGGGTGAGTTACTGGAATTTCTGCCGTATTGACTAGATGATGGCGGTGAGCTTAGGCTTATTTTTCTCTCTTGCATGGAGGAAAATTCATATAATTCCATGAGGTCAGTTTGTTTCTGTTCATCAGGTTCGAGTCCCATGGGGTCATCTGTTTCGGGCCAAACATGTCCCTGCCTGATATTTTATTTAAATTATAGATATTTATAATTTGTTATAATTAATAATCACTAGTGCGTTAATGAACACATTCTAAAAAACGTTTAATCTTATAAATCACTTTGAACAATTATTAATTATTACAAATGTTAATTAGCATAAACTTATTCACAAGTCTAGCACTAACGTATCTTAGCCAGTTGTGCGAACGGCATGGTTTCTAATATTCTTTTTAAAGAGTCCATTTCTTTGTAAACTAAGATGTACAAGTTAAAATAAAATCGAAAGAATAGAATTCAATTTTAAAGCCTGTAATCTATTATATATATATATAAAGAGAAAAAGAAAAATATTATGATACTATATTTATTATTATTCCAACGATCGTAAAAAAGTTCACGTCGTAAACTAGGTATGGTAATAATGTAATCATCGATTAATTATGGTTGTTAGCTTCAAAAGCTAACTATTGTGTAAGTAATTTATGAAACCATTTTATAAAGCACATTTTATTTTTAATATTTTATACTGGGTTGTATGCGCGTATTCAACTTTGTTAAGAAAAAACTTATGCAGTCACATATTATTCAACCAAAACTCCATATGGTTAGTACAGACTCCTGCTTCTATACCCCAAACAACATTTATTTTAATATCTACTTTAAATGAAGAAAACAAAATGTCTGATTGAAATAATTGTTCATTTTAACATTAATTTAAATAGCATGTTTTGCGTATGCATGTGTGTGCGTGCTTCTTCTCAGTGCAGCACCAAATAGTAACTGCTCAAAAACACGTTAACCTTTGTGTTTTTATGAGTAATGATTATGACAATTTGAAATATGGGAAAAAAATCCAAATCATAGCAAAATAATTTTAATTAGAAATCATTACCTTGTCTTTTCACTCTAGAAATAATGGACCATTGAATCGATGTCAAATATCGCGACATGAAACTTTGCGACCTGACGTGTAAGGATCGAGGAATGGTCAACAAGATCTTTTAACAAATGAAAAAATAATGATTGCTTTGATTTATAGATTATTTACGTCCAATTAAAAACAGATCAGTCAACTTTACGTTATTCAGATTTCTTTAAAATATGCCATCTAATATTTTAATTATTAAAACTTTATGATAAGTCATTTTTTAACAAAGGACTAACTAATTAAAAAGATTAATTAATTAGTTAGTTTTATTATGATTCGTCCTAATAAAAATAAATATGCCAACTCTCTCTTTTCATTGGACCAACTTTATTTTAATCTACTTCATCCTAACAAACGGATGATCAACGCAGATTAGATTTAATAATTAATAAAGTTCACTATCAGCGGATGAAACTATTATATCAATAAACAACCAAATGAAAATTAAGGATATCTCTTATTTATATTTTTTATTAGATCAACTTTAAAATAAATTACCTTAATTTAACAAAGGATAAATTGAATGGTTTGATTTATTTGTTTGTTAGGTATCAACTTTAAGTGGACCCACTTTACGATAAGTGAATCTATGAAGCGAACACTTTAGGACTGTTCAAATTAATTTATTATTAACGACCATTTTTAAATTAATCATTTGTCAAAGGCTCTAGTAAATCGACCTTTCAACTTTTGATTTTATTGAATCAACTTTACAATCATTAACTTTGTTTTGATGAATGAATGCTTTGATTTATCAATAAGTGAAAAAATTTATAGGTTACCTGTTACTGGGCATGTATAAATAGGGTGTTTTTTTCAATATGGCATAACCAGCTCCAAGTTCTATATACATATTTGCAACTTCTGATCAGTATCGTATCAATAATTTTTTAAACATTAATTGAAAAAACATCATTGAAAAATATGGCCACGAGATACGTTGAAGATAATGACATCTATGCTCAATACAGATTTGAAGCAAAAGACACCACTGTCAAAAATCTTGGCAACGAGTACAACTACTAGGACTTCACGAAAAAGGATGACTCGATCTATCAGACAGTCACTTTTGAAAGAAAGTCAAGAAGACGTTCGGAAAATTACTTGCATTTCAAGAAAGCATCATCCAGACGTTCGAGTTTATCGAAAAGAAACATTTGAACAACAACAGGAAAGATTGATGCGACAAATAACAATACAGAAAAAATTGGAAAAACAGTCTGAAAAAAGAAGAAGAACTTTTTAACGAGAACGTGGTGACAAGCGGTAGAAATAATAATGAAAAAAATAAAGAAACACAAAATAAAAAGAAACTTTCCAAATCAGAACAAGGTGATAAAAACGGGATCCAAAACAGCTCTCTTCCTCCTTGCCATCGCCGATCAAAAAATCTCTGGAATCGTGAAACACAAACTCCTTTCAGGATGTTAGGACTTTATAGTTACGAACAAGAAGATGATTTGTTGCAACAAAATGAAGATGAAAGCTTTTTGGAATCAAATAAAAATTATTCAAACCAGGAGAATAAGTTGTTGAAGGGATTGGAACACAATCAAACATCATGTGATGTTGAAACTGATGATGTTAAAAGCTCAAAGGTACATATTTGTGCTGGCGGTGATGATGCTTGCAACAAGTATGGTAGTGGAAATAAATTAAAGAAATATTTCAGCAATTTCGAGAAGTTTTTTAGAAAATGAGCGACGCGCGGTCGTTTGCTTCTATTGTAAATTATGTACATATCTGTAAATAGTTATATAAAAATTTAACACTACTTTGAGAAAAATTTATATTTACTTCTTATTTTGTGAAAATAAATGGTATATTTATGGTATATTTATGAAATGATAACACCGTGAAGAAAAATAATTTGATTTTAGAAAATGATAATAGTGAGTCATGTTCCATAAACTTAGCAACTGATGGAAATAAGCCACACACAGAACAAAAAGCTCAAGATGAAAGTGACATAAAATTGGTAACCAATGTGATTGATGATGATCACGATGGTTATGATCACGATGATTATGATCACGATGATTATGATCACGATGATTATGATCACGATGATTATGATCAAGATGATAATGAAGAAATCTCAGTACAAAATGCTCAAGAAAGTGACATAAAATTTGTAGCCAATATGATTAATGATGATGAAAGTGACATAAAATTTGTGGCCAATATGATTAATTATGATCACGATGATGATGCTCAATATGAAAGTGACATAAAATTGGTAGCCAATACGATTAATGATGCTGAAAGTGACATGAAATTGGCAGCCAATATAATTGAAGATGATGATGAAAGTGACAAAACTGGCAGCCAATGTGATTAGTGATGATGACGATTCCGAGGATGATGTTGACGATGATGATCACGATTATTATGATGATGACGAGTGTGAAAACTCAGTACAAAATGCTCAAGATGAAAATGACATGAAATTGGTAGCCAATATGATTAATGATGATGAAAGTGACATAAAATTGGAGGCCAATATAATTGATGATAATGATGAAAGTGACATAAAATTGGTAGCCAATATGATTGATGATGATAACGATCACGATGACGACGATGAAAAAGAACAAAAAGAACAAACCAGTTTTTAAACGTCAAAAGTATTCAAGTGAAACATAATGTGACAAGCTGCATTTGAAACGCAATATCTGATTTTAATGTTTTTTTTTCTCTCGCTACAGTCTGCTAGATGATTAATTTTACTCATTTCAATTTTTAAGTATTTGATGCTTATGGAAATGTTCATGTTTTTGCAATTTAATAACGTTAAAATATAGACTTTTTTTGATTCGCAATCTCGAATACATTTTAATATATAAATTAAATGACAAATAAACATATAGAATCTCATAGATGTGATGTTCCAGAATACATTCGTTACACTATATACTTAAAAAGGAGACGATAATTCCAAACCTGACCACAACCGTCAGTCAACTTTTTTTGGATTCTGCATCCATGTCAAATACTTCATTGAAAATGCATGGAAATTGCCCAAATCGAAAATCATAGTTTTGCGCAGAGTTTTAAAACTACTTTGGAAAGGCTTAGGCCTAAACTTAGCAAAGAATTAAACCACATTTTTAAGCCACACTTTGGAAGCGGTTTAACTGATTTTAGGCATTGCTTCAAAAATGTACAAGAGCGTCAAAACAGAAACAGAAAGATGAAACACATAGATGATAACACGTAAATCGTGAAATAAAAAAGTAGATTTTAGAAAATAACGAAGTTTGGTCTTGAACAACACAAACATCAGTAAAAGATAATGTATGGTTTAACAAAACACATTTGTTTACAAAACTTTATTCCTATTCGTTTTATAAATTTTCTCTTTGTTTTTGGTACCTTTATTATATAATACTTCGGTTGGGATGAGCAGAAATGCTTCCTTCCTCTCTGCATTTTCAGCGAATATGATATTACAGTCTGATTGATTGCTGAGGTTAAAAGAGAAAGAAAGAGAATGAGAGATAAAACAAGGGAAGTTGAGTTATTATATTTCCACTTAGTATATTTATCAAATAACTTTTGCCATATAGAAAGAATTTTGAAAAAAAAATTCAGAAGAAATTACAATCAGCATGCCACATGCGTGAGTAAATATGTCATAAAAAATGTTATATTTTTTCAATTTTGTCTTGTTAATAGTTTTATTGCTAACATTGCACTATTGTTTTGTGCAATTTTATTGATCTTATAAAAAAATTCCAATTCAAAATCTTTAAATCTCATATATGATCGGATGACTGAAATTTATTTATGAAGAAAATTACTTATTACAGTATGCCAGCAACTCAACAATTCTGATTATAACTGTTGACATTTATCATCGGCCATTTGGTATTCCATCCGTGTTCCAGATTTTAATTGAATTAATTGGTTCAATCTATAATAAACTTTAGTCACTAATTAAATTTAATGTTGAAATAATTTTTTCATATGGCAATTAACTATTTAGGCTGTCTAGCATCTCTTTAATATTCGAAAAATGTGTATATGCATAGATATAAGTATCTATTATACTACAGTTTATTGATTATTCTTGTAAATTGTTTGTTTTGTAACTTAAAAAAATATAATTATAGATATTCATAATTTGTTATAATTAATAATCACTAGTGCGTTGATGAACACATTCAAAAAAACGTTTAATCTTACTAAATCACTTTGAACAATTATTAATTATTACAAATATAATCTAAGCAAATGTTAATTGGCATAAACTTATTCACAAGTCAGCACTAACGTATCTTAGCCAGTTGTCTGAACGTCATGGTTTCTGATACTCCTTTCAAAGAGTCCATTTCTTTGTGAACTAAGATGTGCAAGTTAAAATAAAATCGAAAGAATATTATTCAATTTTAAAGCCTGTAATCTTTTATATATATATATATAAATATATATATATATATATATATATATATATGGAGAGAAAGAGAGAGAGAAAGAAAAATATTACTAAACTATTTTTATAATTATTCAAACGATCGTAAAAAAAGTTCACGTCGTAAACTAGGTATGTTAATAATGTAATAGAGACCTGCACGGGGACAGAAATTCAAACCATCCCCGTTCCGTCCCCATGGAATCAGTTCCAACCCCGTTCCATCCCCATCCAAATGATTTCCATCCCCGTTCCATCCCCCGTTCAAATCATTTCCATCCCCATTCAAATGATTTTCATCCCAGTTCATTTTCAAACATTTTAAATATCAGAAGACAACTACTTACCATAAATGCACATACTATTTTATTGCAAAACTATTAAAAAACCACTAAATATATAAATTAATTTATGAAATAAAACGTAACTAAATTTAAAAAACCTGCAAAATCCAAATTCAGCCATGTAATCCATGTAAAAAAAAGTAGTCTGTCAATATTATCTGGAGAGAGTTGACATCTTCTATCATTATCAATTGTCTTACCAGCAAAAGAAAATGCCCTCTCTGAAGAAGTACTGGAGGCGGGTATACACATCAAAGATTTGGCAGCATGATTAAGCTTTGGCCATATAGTTGATTTTTGTGCCCAAAATACAGATACAGCATCATGGATATTAACAATTAGAAAATGTTCCCATACTTTGCTTTTTCCACAATTTTTAACAAACTTTAACCTTTCGCTGTTTTTCCAAACTAACTCTTGAACTTCAGATTTTTCCATAAAACTAATATTATATAACAAACAAAATAAAAATAATACAATAACAAGAACTTTTTTATCGACCAAGAACACGAATGCTAAGTAAAAACGGAATGCGAACTTCTCAGCAGGAAGCGAGATAACAAAGAAAGGCTAGGAAGAAGCATAGAAATTATTTTATGTAGAAATGTAACATTTTGAATTTTAACAAAATTATTTTTTTTAACTTAAAAATCTATTACCGGCTGGTCATCTTCTTTGAAACCTAACACCTAATTCGCATCAAAGTTCAACTTTACAACACCAAAGTTAATTTTTACAACGTCAAAGTTCATCTTGACAAAGTCAATATTTCCCTATATATACAGGGGCGTCATTTCAGATTTTGGTTGGGGGGGGGCGAACTTATGTGGTCTATGACTTAGCATGTAACATATATATATATATATATATACATATACATATATATATATATATATATATATATATATTAATAATATATATAAATTATATAAAATATAATATTAATATATATATATATATATATATATATATATATATTAATAATATATATATATATATTATTAATAAAGATCACAGCGTTTCTTACAGTACTCAATCTATATGATAGTTTCTCGATTCTTCGAATAATTCTCCGATCTACTAAACTTAACTTGTTAATGCTATTAACAAAATTCCTATTTACAAAAGATGTCATTATCTACATGTATGCATATAGTACTATTTCCACTACCTAGTCTCGTCAGTGCAACATTATAATAAATTATACATTTTTAAAGTTTTTAAAATTTCAAAATTTTTATAGTTTTAAAATTACGAAATTATATATCCTATATATATCCTTTTTACAAAGAATTTAAAATTAACACTTTTATAATTTAAAACAGAACATGAATTATTGTAGGAACAAATGAAATAAATTGTATAGCGCTTGACATTTAAAAATTCAAAAAGCACAATATTTTGTATATATAATTATAATAAATTATATAATTTTATATAATTATTTTATAGTGTTTGCAATTTTGTCATAATAATTTCGTACAGCAAAAATTTAAAATTTTGATTTCTAGGGGGGGGGGCAATTGCCCCCCTGCCTCCCCCCAAATGACGCCTCTGTATATATACAGCAAGGAGCACTGATGATTCATTCGGAATCGAAATATGGCCTTATTTGCAGCATGAATTCGAATAATAAGTTTATTTTGAATTTTAATAAACTAAACGTTCACCAAAAAACTTTAGTGAGAAAAATCGAAAAAACGAACTACAAACATATTAACGCCAAACATTCGGTAGAATTTATAAAATATTGTATATATATATAATATTAATATATAATATATATATTAATATATATATGGTGAACTTTGAAAGATACTGATATTTTTTAGTTTTAGATTTTCTTTCTTTTCCTTTCTGTTTAAATTGTCAGTGAATGATTTTCACAGTTATATTTTTGGTCTGTTTAAATATGCTTTTATAATTGAGGCACTGATACAAGTTCATGTCTACTTTTGTGCTTGTGAATAATAATAATAATAATAAAGAGTCGTTGTTAGATATGATATGAATACGTTGTTCTTTAATATGTAACTGGTGACCGTTACGAGAACAATCTTTTTTGGTTTCCAGATTATTTCATTTCATTGATTTTGTTTTCTTTGATTTGGTGAAATAAAATGTTAAATGTTAAATTATTGATAAAAATCACAGCACGTTCGGCGTTAGTTAACTTCTAATTTAACTTTTCGTTAAAACTGATATGTCGTGTTTATGCCCAGATGCTCAAATATATATTTACTGTGCTTCTACTCTACTTCGTTGATTACTTATTTGTTTAAAGTGGATACTTAGTTTTACAATCTTCAACATCGTTTAACATAACACTTTTACGTGTTTTCCTCTATTTCCATATTTATTGGCAGGAAGAATTCTTGAATATTTTTTATTAGATGATTTTGTTCTATGAATATTGATTCGGCTAGGCGTTAATTATAATGGTTGTTATTGTAATATAAGATTTCATCATTGATGTCGTAGATTTGAAATTTTATTTTATTTGTTATTTACGTTTTAAACATTAATACTATTTCGTGATAATAATTTATATAAATTATTGTTTCATTTTATTAATTTGCATATTGTTTGAGCAAAAAACCACGTTGTTAATGTCGTTGTTAATGTGCATTTATGAAAAATAATTTAAAAAAAAAATGGATGTTTCATTTTTACATCATTTAGATAAACAAATTGACATCACCATCATCGTTATATGCATTATCATCTGCTTCATCATCCTCATCATCATAACAATTTGCAAATCTATTTTATTTGAAAATTTATTTAAATTATATTTTAAAAAAAATACTATTCACATAGGGCCTATTGGCCGTCCGGGACCCCAAACAGCTGCTCAGTCTGCTAAGCGTTAGATCCGCCCCTGCAGGCCAGGCGCCATTACCCTTTACACTATCACGCCATCTAAATGCCAAGTAAAAATTGTTTTGCCAACTCACTAACACATTTTTAAGGATAAAAAAATAATTAAATATTTAACAATAATAAAATAATTAGATAATTGATATTTGTCAATAAGTTGTTATAATTTTGTGAACATTTTGAGTTGAAACAATAACCTTCTTTCTAAATTATCATTTTAGATAATACGCAATGATATGCGATTAAAGTATAGAAAAAAAAAATATCGAAATTGCGAAATTGGTTTTAAAATTATTGCTTGCTAACTAGTAATAATAATAATTAAACAGAGTCAGACTGGATGAGAACAAGTTCCTAGCGATATATAACGTTAAAATGAAAACGCCGGAACGTACGCATGTTGTACTAAGGCAGACGTACCCTACCGTATCGAGCTGAACGTTATTAGTTGGTGTGACTCTTTACAACATTCAAAAAATATGATTACTAGTTTCATAATGTTTCAAAAATTTGAATCTGCACTGTGATTTATTTACAGTAATAAATTCCCAGCCTAATTTTAATAGTATGAGTGTATGTATATATATGTATGTGAGAACTTCGCTTAGAAATCCCCGTTCACAAATGTATCAGCCCTGAACAACCTCTTTACATTCTCGGGGGACCGGGCCACGTTCGTTGATCTCTCAAATGCTTCTCGATGACTATTGATTTTTCAGCTGTGTTGTTTTGCTATTTATACAAAATTCAGCTTTATATTTCTTTACGAAATCACTGTAGCCCTGGCTTGCTAATATAGCCAACTCTTCTTTTTTTCTATTAAGCCACAACCAATACGAAGCTTGCTCTGCTCTACTAATAACTTTCTAGACTTAGACTAAAATAGCCAACAGCCCTAGACGTGTCAATTATCCGATGACCAGCAAATTGAGATTAAATTTGTTGCATGCTCATGTTGCCTGTAGAGGACCAAGGATTTGGAATGACATTTTAAAAAATGATTTTTCATGCAATAAAACACTACCACTTGCTATGTTCAAAAGAAATTTAAAATCGTTTTCGTTAAGTTTTAATGAACGAAGAAATGTGTAAAAAACGTGATACAGCTTTATTTAATTCAAATTTCTCACTTCTGTTTGACATACGGTAATTTGTTTACATTTGGGTTCAGGTGACTGGGCTAGATGAGCTCTCTATGAGCTTTTTTACGGTAATTCTAGCATCATTTTTTTGAGTAAATATAAGATCGTATCGTATCGTATGTATGCATGGATATATGTAGCAAAAATCATCTGAAAACGAAGCCAATAAATTTTTGAAATTTGATTTGCAATTATAAGAGTTAGATTGAACTTTGATATCAAAGCTGTCTCTCACCTTGCCTAATTTGTCGTTGAAGAAAGACGTAAATTTTGAGTTTATTGATAATCCAATTTTAATATAACCAAGATCAGAGTGAATTTTTCTTCGGTATATATTTGACAAAAGCACAGCAGATCAAAATAATTAATGTATGTGCAGACCACCTTAACTAAAACTGTGCAACATATAACATTAATGAGCTAATCAAGATTGGAACAGAATTAAAATTTCGACTAATAAACAGTTTATGATAACAAAATCCGCGACAAAAAATAACGATAACAAAAATTGTTTATATAAACCTCTTTATTCAACATTACATCGTGTGAAAAATAAATTGTATAATAATGGTTACTCAAAAAGACAGTAATATAATATTAAGCTATTGAAAGAAAATTTTTCAAAATACTGGCAAATAAAACAAAAATAAAAATGATATTAAGTAATGAAAAATCTGTCTTTCAAAATTTTGAAATTTTTATAATTAACAAAACACCTTTTATATAAACCCATAAAATTCCATACCTTACTTTTTCTCACAGCCCAATTTCTGTTACCTAACTCAGCTCTACTATTCGATACACTAACAGCACCTTGTTGTCATGTGCTAGATAAAACATTTACGAGGGATTTGATTGATTTATAATTTTCATCGTTCAATATTTTATAAATGATCGTCAATGTTAGATAAATATTTATTTGCTCGATACTGAAAATCCTATGTAACTTATATAAACAATCAGTGTGGTTTAAAAGCTTCATCAAAAAGCACACTCTTAAAAATATTTTTAGGCTATTGTCAACTTATTTATCAAATAACTGCACTTAGATCCCCACAAAACATTACCATATATTAAGTAGACATAGCATAAGGATTAGTATAATAATAACATTGAATCTTGACTTAATTTGTTACGCGACCTGTAAATGTCACCTGTGATTTTCGTTAGCCCTTTCAATGTCAAAGTTGAAATCAACGGTCAATAAACATACGAAAACTAAGTTCTGTTGCTTTTTCTGACACTAATATAGGCTCATTAAAAAATGCAGACAACTGTGCAGAATCTGGTTTATAAACATCATCATCATCTTAATCAAACAACATCATCGTCATCGTCGTCATCATCATAACAATTTGCATTTGTTTTCAAAAATTCTAATTATTGCACAGAGTTGCGACAAAAATTGACTATTCAAATTATGAATTCAAAGTAGAAAAAACATCATCATCAACATCAACAACAACAACGACGTGTATGTGTGTGTGTGTGCGTGTGTGTGTGTGTGTGTGTGTGTGTGTGTGTGTGTGTGCTTGTTAACTCTACGCACAACACAACAACACACACATAATAAAACATACACACACATACAAACACTTTCACGCCCACATTTCATTTTTGCTTATCACTAATTTTCATCATTGTTATGTTTTTTCATCCCTGTTTTTGTGTCTATGTGTGTTATGTGTTGTGTGTATGTGTGTGTCTGTGTGTGTGGTATGTTGTGTGTGTTTAACTTTTTTTTTAAATACGGATATAAAGTTGATATAAAATTCTCAATTTGCAATTTTTTTCTTACCATTTTTTAATACAAATATTCCATAATTAAAGAATTAATTTTATTCTTGAAATAAATTATACAAATATTAAGTACTTGATATAACTTCATCTTAACGATGAACCATCTCGTCGCCATCCTTGTGCTGATCAGTGTGGTTCCTTTAGATGCTGAGGGTTAGACATTTGTAATACAAAACTTTCTTTAACAAACATTTTTCATTTTTTTGTTTAATTTTTGAAATTTTATCAATGGTTTGTTTATTTTATTTGTTAATTATTGTTTAGTTGGTTGATAATTATGGCCTTTTTTGTTATTAACATTTGATAAATTATCTGTTTAATAATAATAAATGCAATCCTATTTTTTGTGACATGTTTATCGTCGAGAAAAAATAAAACTTTTAAATTTAAAATAAAAACTCGACGGTGATTTACAGAAGGCCATCACCTTGCTCACAAAACTGTCCTAGCAGGGAATATGGCTGCTATCCTTGCAAGTGTGATGAGGTCAGTTATCTATTATTATTTGAGTTATTTGCTGAAGTTGACATTTTTCTCTGATGAATGATTGTGTGTGAGTGAGTGAGTGAGTGAGTGAGTGAGTGAGTGAGTGAGTGAGTGAATGAGTGAGTGAGTGAGTGAGTGAGTGAGTGAGTGAGTGTGTGAGTGAGTGAGTAAATTAATGATTGAATCAATAAATGAATAATTAATAAATAATATATTTTTATATATTTATTTTTGAATTATACAGCACACAGACCTGACATGCCGCAATGATGAATTTTGTACTTTTGAAAAAAATTGGCGAAAATATTTTTATTGGTCGTGCTTGCTACACTGGAACCAGAAATAAGAGGAATAGTAGTATTTATGAAAACTTCGCTTACACTGATTGGTGGAATTATGGTAAAAATAATTCCATTTTATTATTATTAGTAGTAAATATTAATAATAATAAATCTTTTTTTTGTTTATTATAGATAAATTTTTCATGAATATTTTTCCGAGTTAAGAATACTTAATAATTCTATATAAATGAAATTTCAAATGGTTTTCACAATTTTGGTCATTTTACGATCTGTGGGTTTTGTGACTTTCACTAGATGACTTCCAACAGGTGGTCAGCAATAGCAGTGTCGCATTTAACCTGTTTGCCACTGCAGGTTTTGGCCAAGTTACTAAACATTAATGCCCCACAAAATAATGTAAATAATCTGAGTAATTGTGATAACTTTTAAAAATCACCCTTCTTCTACGTCCCATCTTTTAGTATTCCCACTGCTAAACCAACTTTTTTGAGCCGAGGTACTCGTCATGCAGCTGCACAGGTTTGGAACGACCAGTCGCCAGGACTACCAAATATAAAATCTCTTAGGCTTAGGATCTTAAAAATTAGAAAACTTGAGAAGCTCTGTGACTGACATCATATAAATTGTTGTATTATTAATTTTTCACTATTAATTAGCATTATATTTTATTAACGGTGATCTCTATCAAACTGGGATCCATCACTACCACTGATATGTTATGCTGTCTAATTTTTGAATAACGTGAACAAAACTTGCGGTATTTTAAATGTTGTTATTTACTCCATATACGCTTGCCGCATATATAGAAGAAAAACCATGCAAGCCTGGCTGCAATGATGAAACATGTTCTAATTGTAAATGTAAAGTTAGTACATCTTTTTTCCAATATTTTTTTAATTTCTTTAACCGATTTGTTAGTTATTATTTGCTTATGGCTGCAATTCCTAAAAAATGTTTCTATATTTTATTTATTTCTATTAGTTGAACTATTTGAAAATATTGTGCAAATTTTCCGTTTTAACACTAAGTAATAAATTAATTTTTTTTTATCTAAATCAAACCCTGACTGACGTACGCAAAAATTGAAACAACAGGCTAAGAAAAAAACAAACGATAAAATGAGGGAACATATGAAATGAACGATGAAAACTCGTAAAACAAAATTGATCAAACTGAATAATATTTTTGAACTATTTCCTCAAGTTAAAGTTCATTCTTATCAATTTTAGTTCACAGACACACTGACGTGCAGAACAGGTGAACACTGTGGAGGAGATTATTCCGATTGGTACGGCCATTACATAGCTTGCTACATTAAAAACCAGTACGGCAAATGGGTGCGTACAGGCAGTTGGGATTACGTCAATAATGTCACATATTATACTTAGCTTTAACGTTCTTTACCATATTACGACGTTGTGCTGTAATGACTTTACGGTTCTCCACTTTTGTTGTAATGTTTCTCAATTTGTTTGTTGAATTAACTAATTTTACTCGTATTACTTGTTATTGCTTCTAGTCTTCCACAATTGTTACCTAGATGATACGAATGGATGTTGGTTGATCATTGCATTAACGTACAATACACTAGCAACAATTCTTGATGTTTGTTATTAACTACCAGAATATGTACGTATGTATGTATCTATGTAAGTATTATTATTATTATTATTATTATTATTATTATTATTATTATTATTATTATAATCGCGAACAACACACTGGTCAAAACAATTAGATTTGGTTTCAGAAACTCTCTACAAATTTGCCAGGAAATATCTTATACAGCAATTGCCGACCAACGCCAATCTGCTCAGATGGGGAAAGACACACGATTCCCTATATCCTCTTTGCGGCGCTCAACAAACTAACAAACACGTTGTGTCCAACTGTGGATCTGTTGTCGCGTTAGCAAGATATACTGAACGTCATAATAAAATTTTATCCGAGATCGTCAGTTGGTTAAAGACATGTCGACAGCCGGACTGCCGGATATTCGCTGATATCGTCTCGGAGGGAGTCCTGCCAATATCGCAACTGTTCGACACTCTTCGTCCAGACATCGCCATTTTGCGCGACCACAAGATTGAAGTCATCGAATTAACGGTGTGCCATGAAACAAATCTGATAAAATCAAAAAATTACAAACAATCGAAATACGAAAATAACTTGAAATTGTGTTTAAAGGCTGACTTTAAAAACAGTTTAATTGTTTTGAAAACATTTGAAATCACCCCGATTGGCTTTTTAAATGTTTTAAACTTGTCTCTAATTAAAAATTCATGGCCGATTACATTTATTAACAAATTAACTTATACAGTTATTAAATCGACGTATGCCATTTATTGCGATAGAAACAATCCGTAACCAATTTGAATATTTTACCGTTTTGCACTTGTCATAGATAATGAGCATTGTGGTTTTATTGAATGTTATTACATTAGTACATATTTTAATTATTCTATTTTTTTCCATTCATTAGATTGACTTTGATTGAAATAAAAAAGTTTCCATTATTATTATTATTATTATAAAACACTTATAAAGCGCCCATCAAAATAAATATCTCTCACAAGCACTATCGAAAAAAAAAAACAAATAATATATGAACAGTGAAATAACGTACATCCTATCAATAGACGATATGATACAATCAATTACAATCGTTCATCGCAAAAAGATAAGTTTTCAAATTCATCTTGAAATCAACAATGCCCATCTTCGACATTCTCATCGACATTGGCAGACTATTCCAGACGATTGGTCCCGACACTGCAATGTCTCTAGACGATGTCTGCAGCTGCGTAGTTGGTACATTCAACAAATTGACGTCATCTGATCGCATGCGTCTGCCAGTCGAAGACAGCGGTTTCTTTATGAATCTATCAGCCAGGTATTCTGGGATATTCTGTGAGTTGTCCGTTTATGGCCACGTACATAATGACGCATATTTTGTAAAAAATTCGTTTCTTCACTGTTAGCCAATGGAGGCTATTCAGAATTGGGGTCACATGATTGTATTTTCTGCCTCTAACAATCACCTTTGCAGCTCTGTTCTGAATAGACTGGAGGTCAGCGATGGACCTTTCTGGCAACCCATAAAACAGACTGTTGCAATAATCCAATCTCGAGTGGACAAACGCATGTACTAATGATTGTGTTACAGTTTGATCCAGATATTTTCTTATTCGGTATATTTGTTGAAGTTGTGCTGAACATGATTTAGATTGTGATTTTATGTAGTCACAAAGTTTCAATTTGGTGTCAAAAATACATCCCAAATTAGTAGCCTCCTTATTATCTTCAATCATTATTGAATCAATTTTGACTTTTGATAGCTGCTGCCAGGTGTCCACCGTTAAAAACAGTGATTTATTTTTATTAAGTTTTAGACATTTTTTTGACATCCATGTGTCAACTTCAGCCAAACATTTTATTAGTCTTTCAACTGCACTTTCGAACTGATCTGGTTGACTGCTGACTATTATTTGAATGTCGTCGGCAAAAGTGTACTTTTTGTGTGCCTTTGTGTGTGTGTGGTGTGTGTGTTTAACTTCTTTCTATATATACGGATATAAAGTTGTTAGAACAACTTTGATTCTCAATTTGCAATTTTTTTTCTTACCATTTTTTAATACAAATATTCCATATTTAAAAACTTAATTCTCTTCTTGAAATAAAATATACGAATATTAAGTACTTGATATAACTTTATCTTAACGATGAACCATCTCGTCGCCATCCTTGTGCTAATCAGTGTGGTTCTTCTAAAGGCTGAGGGTTAGATAAGAAAAACCAAAAGTATCAATTACATTAAATACATCAGCTGTATACAGTATGAACAAAATGGGTCCAAGTATTGAACCTTGTGGCACTCCGGATGACTTTGTTTTTACACTAGACAGATGCTCTTTGAAAAATACCTGTTGAGTCCTTTTAGTCAAATAGGAGTCGAACCACTTGATAACAGTTCCAGCAATGCCAAAGTCGTGAATGAATCTGTTCAATAGAATTTGATGATCGACACAGTCAAACGCTGCACTCATGCAGTGGAGGATTAATGCACAAGCACAAAAGGCCGGGGGCGGCAAATTTAAAAATGTTCAAGTTGAATAAAAATAATTATTGAAATTGATACTTCACTCAAAAATTATGGTGTTCAAGTTTATATAATTTAAAACTTTAAAAAATCGATTTACAGTTGCCGTTCGATCTGATCATATATTTAAAATACATGTATCGGAATATATAGCCGATAATGTCATGCAAAAAAATCGTACTTTTATCACTGAAACAATAATTAATTAATCAGAAGACGAATGACTACAAGTGGCGCTAAATTGTATCAATATGTACGAATACCTTTTTTTTTCATGGTCGCGTTTTTCACAATAATTGTGTACACAGCTACAAAAATTTGAACGCAGTTAATTATCTTAACTGTTCACTAATAATGGCACAACAAACTCAAACATAACGGCAACAATGAAAAGCGTAAAACTAAATAATTCCTAGCGATCAAATAAAAATTACTTTATTAGTGCCTGCTATTTTACAAAAGTTTTTGTTAATGAGTTTGATGAGCTTGTTTTATGATTTATTTGATTACTAAACGTTAATTATTAATCTAAAGATAAAGGTACAACTTATATGTATGTATGTACGTATGTTAAAACCAAATCAGCGATGAGTGACACTAAACAGTCAAACATCTGAATAAAATCGGTTAACAATTGGTATCTCGTTATTCGCTCACGTCGGCATTTAATTGAACATTTTCGGTAACACAGACGCGCAAGAACTTTTGCAGCAAACAAGAGATATGATTCATGGCGAAAAATAGCTCTCTGCTGTCGCCGGACCTGACACTTATCATTTTGAAAATATTTAAAAAAAATTTGGAAGTGCTGTTGTCCATCGGGCCAAGAACCTCGATGCAAACGGGTAAAAAATCCATCGAGGGCAGGGCACCTTCATATTTTTTAATCTTCTCATCCGATGCTCTGGTTGCGGCCAAATCACTTTCCCTGCTGGTTAAGTGCACGTACCGTTCGCTAATGTGCCCGGAACGGTTACGTCCCACGCCAGGCACCTACCGGCTCTCCAAGGAATCAATGTGCAGCCATCCGGGCGTTTTCCATCCAGCGCGGAAATTCCCGAGGGCTCTTTAAGAACGGGTATTGAAGCCTTGGAAAAAAGCCGGCAGATGTAATCATTTAATGCGGAATGGCGCAACTGACAACCGCCACCCAAACGACGGACCAGGCCGTGCTGACCGAGTTCGTTAGCCTCCGCACCGCACTTGCACAGATAATTTGGGGGAACGTTAAACCCAAACAAAAATCAATGGCCATCCTGACTGTCTCATAATCCAGTCGGGTACCCACCGATGAGTTGGGCCAGGATCTATCTCAACCTTGGAGAAAAGCCGGCAGATGTAATCATTTAATGCGGAATGGCGCAACTGACGACCATTACCAGACCGGGGTGACTAAGTTCGTTAGTCTCCGCACCGCACTTACACAAATATTTTTGGTGGACCGTTAAACCCAAAAGAAAATCAATGGCCATCCTGACAACACTTAGATTTTTCGTTAATTGCACATGTCGGCATTCAGTTGGATATTTTCAAGCACACAGACACGCAGGAACTGCTGCAACAAGCATGTATGTATGTATGTATGTATGTATGTATGTATGTATGTATGTATGTATGTATGTATGTATGTATGTATGTATGTATGTATGTATGTATGTATGTATGTATGTATGTATGTATGTATGTATGTATGATAGATTGTATGTATGTATACATGCATGTATGTGTGTATGTATATATGAAACTTATTTTTAAAGCGCATATTCAGCACATTTCCAACAAATTAACTTAATCTATAGGCATAATTAATGAAATAAAATTTTTCCTCCCTAAAAATGTTTGAATTTCCTGTATAATGTTATCTGCACATCTTACATAAATAAATGTAGCGTTGTGTGGGCTGGCGCGTATCCTTCGACTCTTTTCGACTCTTCTATCGATTAAAATTCTGTTAGAGAAAGCAGTAAGGGTTATAACGCTATTCAAACAACTCACCAATACATGTCAAATAATAATAATTTAATATTTGATCAGATCGGCAAATATTTTACAGCCATTTTTTGATGCAATTTTCCAAAATGCTTCCTCTAAAGTTTACGTAAATTTTAAAACAGTCAACAACACTTGACGTGTCAATTAGCAAAACGGGAATAAATTTGTTGCATTCTCGTGTTGTTTGTTGAGGGTTAAGGATTTGGAACAACATTTTTACAAATGATTTTTTTCTGTGATAAAACAACACTACTTGCTATGTTCGAAAAGAATTTAAAATCGAATTTTATTAAATTTTTATGACAGGAGAAAGGTGTAAAAAAGGAGATACTGTTTTATTTAATTCAAATTTTTCATTTCCATTTACATTGCGTTAATTTGTTTACATTGGGTTTAGGGGGCTGTGCTTTTTGAGTGAGTGCATGCATGTGAAAATAAATATGAAAACTTAGTTTTGTTGCTTTTTCTGACACTAATATAGGCTCGTAAAAAAGGCAGACAACATTGCAGAACCCGGTTTATAAAGATCATCATCATCAACGTCGTCGTCGTCGTCGTCATCATCATCATCATAACAATTTGCATCACTATCATCACCAACATCATCCTGACAAAAAATTTCAAACTTTGTTTTCAAAAATTCTAATTATTGCACAGAGTTGCGACAAAAATTGACTATTCAAATTATGAATTCAAATTAAAAAAACATCAACATCGACTATGGTGTGTGTGTGTGTGGTGTGTGTGTGTGTGTGTGTGTGGTGTGTGTGTGTGTGTGTGTGTGTGTGCTGTGTATGTGTGTTGTGTTTAAGTGTTTAACTTCTTTCTATATATACTACGATATAAACAACTTTGATTCTCAATTTGCATTTTTCCAACTACCATTCTTTTAATACAAATACTCTATAATTAAAGAATTAATTCTATTTTTAAAATAAGTTTTTAAAATATAAAGTACTCGATTCAACTTCATCTTAACGATGGATCATCTCGTCGCCGTCCTTGTGCTGATCAGTGTGGTTCCTCTAGAGGCTAAGTGTTAGATATTTTTAATACAAAACTTTCTTTAATAAAAATTTTTTTCATAAAAAAATTATATCAATGATTTGTTCATTTTTTTATGATAATAATGAATAACATAAATATTAAATACTAAATAAAATGATTAATATTAATATATTTAATATTTATTTGATTCATTATTATTGCTTTTTTGTTATTAATCTTTGATAAATTTTCGGTCTAATAATAATTGAAATCTGATTTTTTTACAATTGTGATTTACAATCCTATTTTTTGTCACTTTGTTACATGTTTTTTGTCGAGAAAGAATAAAATTTTTAAATTTAAAATGAAAACTCGACAGTGATTTACAGAAGGCCATCACCTTGCTCAGAAAACTGTCCTAGCAGGGAATATGGCTGCTATCCTTGCAAGTGTGATGAGGTCAGTTATCTATTATTATTTGAGTTATTTGCTGAAGATGACATTTTTCTCTGATGAATGAATGTGAGTGAGTGAGTGTGTGAGTGAAAAAAAAATTATATGTTTATATATATATTATTTTTTCAAAATTATACAGCACACTGACCTGACATGTCGCAAGGGTGAATTTTGTACTCTTGAAAAAAGTCGGCGAGGCTATTTTTATTGGTCGTGCTACACTGGAACCAGAAACGAGCAGATTAATAGTACCTATGAGAATTTCGTTTACATTGGATCGTGGAATTATTGTAAAAATTATTTCATTTTTTTCATTATTAGCAGTAAATATAATCTTTTTTTTAATTTACTCTAGAAAAATTTTTCATCAAAATTTTTCCGAGTCGAGAATACTTATGAATTCTATATAAATAAAGTTTCAAATGGTTTTTCACGCATTTGGTCATTTTACGATCTGTGGGTTTTGTGACTTTCACTTGACGTTATTGCCTGCCAAGAGGTGGTCAGCAATAGCAGTGTCGCATTTAACCTGTTTGCCACTGCAGGTTTTGGTCAAGTTACTAAACATTAATGCCCCACAAAATAATGTAGATAATCTGAGTAATTATGATAACTTTTAAAAATCACCCTTTTTTCTACGTCCCATTTTTTAACATTCCCACTGCTAAACCAACTTTTCTAGCGGCAGTTCTTGTCATGCAGCTGCAGTTTCGAACTACCGACTATTAAATCTCTTAGGCTTAGGGTTTTAAAAAACAACACTAAACTTGAAGCTGTGCGACTGACATTTTATGTATTATTATTTTTTCACTATTAAATATTATCATTTTTTATCATAAAACGCTGCAATGTAAGTTTTGACTAACACTCAACTTAATAGAACACAAAAACGGACAAAGTTGAACACTGTACGTTTTTCTGTGAATTTCATTGCATTCGATGCAGGTGACTGCAAAAGACAACCGAGGTCTCTATCAAACTCTGATCCATCACCACTAATGATATGTTATGTTGTCCAATTTTTGAATAATATGAACAAAGCTTGCAGCCTTTAAACATAATTGAGTACATGCTGGAAGAGTTTCGTAAGATCCAGAATAGGTTATTTTTGCTTCTGAGAAAGTTTTTTGCTCTTCAATTTGTAGAGTTATAATAACTTGAGAACTAAAACAGAAAAATGGATTTTTTACTGCTTAAAATTAACTTTTCTCTACTTGTTGCATTAGTTAATAATAATTGAATGCATGATTTAAATGTCAACGTCAAAATGATTATAAATGCAATATCGAAATGTTGTTTTTTACTCCAATAGTGTTTGCCGGATATATAGAAGATAAGCCATGCGAGCATGACTGCAATAATGACTCATGTTCTAATTGTAGATGTAAAGTTGGTACAAATTTTTTTAATATTTTTTTTAATTCTTTGTCCGATTTGTTTATTATTATTTGCTTATGACTGTAATTTCTAAAAAAATGTTTGTTTAATTTATTCATTTATACAAAATATTTAAAAAAATATTTAGCAATTTTTTTTGTTTTAACCCTAAATAATAATTTAAAATTTTTATCTAAATCAAACCCTGACTGACGCACGCAGAAATTGAAATTACAGGCTAAGAAAAGACAAACGATAAAATGAGGGAACATATGAAATGAACGATGAAAACTCGTAAAACAAAATTGATCAAACTGAATAATATTTTTGAACTATTTCCTTAAGTTGAAGTTCATTCCTATCAATTTTAGTTCACAGACAAACTCACGTGCGAGACAGGGGAACACTGTGGAGGAGAATATTCCGATTTGTACGGCCATTACATAGCTTGCTACTATAAAAATCAGTACGGAAATTGGGTGAGTACAGGCAGCTGGGATTATTACACTTATGGTAAATATGATCTTTAGCTTTAACGTTTCTACCATATTATGACATTTTGTTGTTGTGACGTTTCGGTTTTCCACCATGTTATAGTGTCAACTCTTGTTGTAATGTTTCTCAATTGGTTTGTTGAGGGAACTAATTTGACTCGCTGAATATTAGTATTAACATTAAAATTAGTTGTATGATTATTATTTGATCTTCATTAATAATCATTTTATTATTTTGTAATTTTGTCATTTTTTAATACGAACTAAATAAATAATATCTATAAAGCCTAACAAAATTAATTGATTTTAAATTAAAATAAGCAGCTTCTGGTTCATTCACTTTTCCACTTTTTTTACTCTACATCATCTATTTGTCTTTTTCTACATCCGCCTATCCCTATATCACTACTACAAGATAATTTTTTTTCAATACTTTTTCATGCGAATAATGAAAAATAAATTAATAAAACCGAGGTTGAACAAACGGGAGTTGAAAAGTATCTTTTTCAAACTAAGACACGCAGGCATACAAACAGGCACGCGCATGCTCCTATCGGTGTGAAGAGTGTTTTTTAAAATCAGCAAAATTTAGTATTTAAACAGGAAAACAAACAAACAAAATCGACCAATTTGGCGTTAAAAGTAAACAACAAGTTCACCTGCCTAAATTTTTTGGCCCCACTAGCGAAAATTTTGGCTATCATCCCCTATCAAATTTCAAACATTTTTTTTATCTAATTATTTGTATTTAAGCGATTTAACGTACAATATAAAACGTGATAAGCAAAAAGACGGTCGTCACCCACACAAACTGATCGTTTCTACACGGAGAAAATGAATTTCATAAAACCGTAAACTAAAAACATTACTATTTTTGCTAGACGGATTAGTTAATCCTCAAGCTATTAAGCTGAAACATCATTGCATTTTTATTATTTTTTTATTTTAAATGTCTGAAACAAACACATTTAGATGTGATGAAGTAGAATTTTGTTTTATATAATTTATCAAACAATTTGGAATAAATTATTGGAAAAATTTTATATTAAATGTTGAAAACTAATCCGGCACTGTTCGTCAACTGTGTACAATATTGAAAATAAATAATGTTTATATTATATTATAATATATTATATACTATTTTAATATTACTGCTTTATTTGAAGTATAATAAACTGATAAACAATATGAAATTTTTATTCAATCCTATGGTAATATATTTTATAAAACAACATTTTATATAACGTCATTACGATTTGTTATTTTGAAAATAAAATCGCGTCAAAATTATTGATAATGAAAGTTTATTTCATAACTAATTAACTTTTGGGTTTTCGATTGTTGTCTTCTTAATCTTCAGTTTGACCGGGCTGAATCTTAAACAAAGCTAGCCGACTATAAATTTAATGAACATTACGGTTTTCATAATTTTTCTAAAAAATTTGTTAGAAAAAAATATTTACATTAACTACAATTAAAATGTTAGACAGTTTCATTATTATTTAAAAATAAATTTTTATATTTTTCATAAAATAGAGGCGTAGACAGGGGAGAGCTATAAGAATGAAGTCCCCACAATGCAAAGTTTGACTGGGTTGAGGATACAATGAACAAAATCTCAAATACATAAACTTTCAAAATCACTGAGTGAAAAACTATTTCAACCTTTGTCTTATTACAATAAAATAAAGGTAAGTTTTGCATAATATCACCAGTTTCAATTGCGAAATTTATTGAAAATTGCGTGACAGCCAAAAAAAGCTGCCAAGTTTGATCTATAAAAAGCAGGAGAGCCGAGGGCAGCCCAACTAACTCCCTATTCTACTGCAAATTTCCTGCTACTTACGATACTGTTTCGTTATTAATAATTTTAACATCATGTAATTTTTATAGTTTAAAATAATATGTTGTAATGTACGAATTAAATTATTTTAATAAAAATATTATATAAAAATTTTTAAAATTAATAATGCAAAGACAAAATGCTACGAACAATCGCGACAGGATGTTTTGCGTTGGCTGTCGTAGCGAACAGTTTTCCAACATATTTTTTATAAGAATTTATTAATATATAGATTAAACTTCTGTGCCAATTCGAATGTTGGAAACCCGGATATCACTAGCAATGAAGTCCGCAGGGCTGGCTTAACAACTAGACAAATGTTATAACTGTCCAAGGCCAGGAATCGAATCCCACACTTCTCACTAATTAATTTTTCTCATTTGAATATTGACGTTTTTTTTAAACGGTTTTGAAAGCATCATCTCACTGAATCCCTTTTGCACGTTGCAGAGCCGTTCCTTGCGGCCTTTACGTATGGGACATTAATCAAAATACCAGGGAATAAATATATCTGATTTAAAATGCTAAAAATATGTCATTTAACTAGTAAACAAAAACGTTTAAAAAATTAATTAAAACCTAAAGTCCAACCAACGTTTAACTAAAAGTTTAATATAACAAAAATTATTTCAAATTTCAAATTACAATTATAACGATGAATGAACCGGGGTATTAAACTACTGACCCCACATTGGCATAGTCCCGTGGTGCTCGTCTCAGTCCTCTCAGACCGGCAGTCGTGATGGTGTTGGTATACTGCTTCACACAAGTTCACTGTGCACGTTTGCAAGTAAGTTTATGACATTAGGTAAGTCTTAAGACTCGTGATGAATGATTCAATTGAATGACATTATTAGGTAAGTCTTAAGACTCGTGATAAATGATTGAATTTAATGATATTAAGTAAGTTTTCAGATTCTTTGGATGAATTAAAAAAATTAGAAATTTATTGAATTGAGGAATGGCGACTATGGTGTTTTTCCATTTTTTATTTTATATCTTCCGGCTCAGACACTCGCTCATTTAAACAAGTGAGTGAGTCCAAAAAATACTAAATTATGAAAAGGAAATAAACAACATGGTGGCGCTTTACTCACCTGTGACGAGTATCACAAAGACAACCAACAACACGTGGGTACCTGCCATGATCCTTGCAAATATACAAATGAACAGCTGAAATTTTCCAAACAATAATTTTAAATATAAGTTACTTACAATTAAAAAAGTGTTTTAATAATTTAACTCAAAATAACAGGCGTTAATAAGTGATATGAAATTTTTTGTAAACGGTTTGCTATATATTATTATTGCGCCTGCCAGATATTGAACGGACGGAAATGCATCATCATTATAAGAAAAATTTTAAAAAATTCGAAAAAATATTGACATATCATTAAAAAAATTTTTGATCTAATTATGCTAAGCGCTAATCTTTATTTTCATTTAAGCAGTTTAACGTACGATCTAAAACAGCCGTGAACACCTGCGCATATTATTAACACAACATGCACCACACATACATACAACCTACACGTAAAACCTACCGTTCACGAATAAACATGTTGAAAAAGGGGCTAAAACTTAAGTGTGAAAATTGAAGCCATTACTTCCAAGGATGGAATGGTAACTTCGGTATTCTACATATTTTTTTTGTTTTGTTACTCCGGGCTTAGGTACTTGAAAAATGAAAAGTAAGATTGGAGAATATCGAGGTCGTCAAGCTGGGATCGAAGTTCCAAAATTTAATTTTTTTATTTAAAGATTTGTTCATAAAAACTTCAAGTACTGATGCCATAAATTATGCTATACAGTAAAGTTTATTTATAATATTGCCAGAGAACCAATGAATGTCAAAATATAAACGGTTCAGAATGTTCAAATGTTTGCATGGAATCCTTGTATAATTCGCATAAGTTCATCGTTGTATCTCCTCCCATATAATTGTATTGTTCGAATGATTATAAATAGCGCCTCTATTAAGTTATATTCAGTTATACCTTTATATTATAATAATATTAATCAATATCATCCATATTAAGATTATTATATACAATAATGGTTATATATATATATATATATATATATACATACATACATACACATAAATATATGTATGTATGTGTGTGTGTGAGGTGTGTGTGTGTGTAGTGTGTGTGTGTGAAGTGTGTGTGATTTCATGTGTGTATTTTTTTATTTTTAAACTGCCAAATGAAGAAGGCGGTCAATAAAAATTGACAGTTCTGGATTAATGACATCTTATCGAATAAATTCGTAAAAAAAAAGCAGATTAATGTACGTCATTAAATTTAAAAAAATAATAAGTAAGTAGCAGCGTAGACGAGATGCACCGTGTTGCAGTTTGTATGACACTGATAACGTAAGAATTATAAACGATAGCACATGTATTGAGGAATGCATGATTTGATGTATGATATACAAATGTGGTAATAATAATATCATGATAACTAACTGGCGATTACGAATAAATTACATACGTCGTTAAATTAATTTAAAAATTTTAATAAATTTTTGTAAAAAATCTTTAGAATAACGAGAACTACGATGAAGAAGATTCTGTTGATTTTTGCCTTGATGTTTCTCGTCTGCCGTAAATTTATAATTACCTCATTTTCATTAATATTTCATTTTTATATTTTCATCACGCATTTGTGGTTAAAGGAACGAAAATTGAAAAGGAGGTCGCCAGCGTAGTTTGGGCCAAACAAAGAAAAAACTTGATCATGTTTAAATGTTTTAGCCTCCAGTAAACGTTGTCAATCCCCCTTAACACCACACGCCTGTGTCATACAAATTCAAAAGTTTATCTCATCTCATGAGCATAAAAATACCAGTGTACTTGAAATTTCAACCGTTTTTACATTACTCAGTTTCAAGGAAATTTTTCATTGTTTTATTGCGTTTATTCATTTATCATCACTGAGGAAATATATTACTTATAAAAATCGTTCTTATTGATAATCATAATATTAATTTTTAATAATAATAAATATAATAATATATTGCATAAAATTAACGATCTTTTGAAATGTAAACCGATGCAGTTGAACGTGTAGACAGTTCGAAATCAAATCTTTGCGACGAAGTTAGGTCTGGATTGGACTACTTGTGGAAAGCTTGTGACTGCTATGTAGGTTAACTTTTTATCGACATACGTCATTTCCACTGTCTCGTCACAATAATTTCCAGTTATTTCGTTTGCAGACAGTTAGACGTTGTTGAATTTAAAAAAATAATAATAAAATAAAAAATAAAACTCGTTCAATAATTTCTTCTTTTAACTTCTTGTTTATTCGTTAATTAATTTTTGTTGCTTTTTTTTATTAATATCATAGAGTTTCTACTTTTAATATTTTACCTGCGCAGGGTGTCACCTGCAACATTGGTTATCATTGCTACATTCGCAAACCACGGCCAAAATTATGGAGATATTGCATATCAGGTTAAATTTGTTTTAACGTTAAACTAGAAAGCACTTCGAACATATTAATATACAAAACTGTTAATTCAATTACTTTTCAAAATATTATTAGCAATAATATAGCAGTGTGATCTTTTAATTTAAACCTTTCTCTTACTATGAAATGAATTTAATAGTAACCAGAAGACACATCTAGATTTCAATTGTGAGCCCTGGATAACACCTTCAAAAACTTGATGATATTATTTCTTATTCGTTTTCTTTCCGCTACTAACTTCAATAATAGCAAGGGCGGTAATGTCTTCACATATACGTCACAATTGGTCAAGGTAATGGTCAGCGAGATACGATAAACTTGCCTCGTCTCATGCTGCCATTACGCGATAGCATGGTTCTGTCCAAAATTCAAATACCTTGGTACGCGTATGATTCGGTGCTTGCACGTGCATACATAATGTATATGTGCGTTGTGTGAAGTGGATCGTGTACAGCCTTTGTGACATGAAGGCTTGGTAAAAAGTATGGCATAACATGTAAGCAGCTCTGCGTTTGACATTATAGAGAATATAAAAAAGGTAAAGTGTAATAAAATGGCGCAAATGCTTCCACATTGCAGCCAGACCAAGTTAAGTTCAAATAGTTTATTTCAGGATTGATATACCTATTAGGCTCTCCTGTTTTAAAACTCAAAAATAAATAAATTAAATTGTTGAATATTTCATATTTCATTGATAGATTCTGGTAAGTTTCAGACTGACGTGGCTGGAAATTAACTGCCGTGAAAAATATGGATAATAAATAACAATTTTTTAAAGGAAATTGAAAATAATAATAAAATGTTAATTTTAAATTTTCTGACCAGTGTTGCAGGGTGCATTTTTATATAGGAGTTAATTTATTTAACTATTTATTTCTTTTATATTTATATAAATTATAATTTATATATATATCGCTTTTTTATTTAAATTGTTCAAAGATTTAAGTTTCTAATATTTTTGAAACATTTTTGTCTAGAGCAATATGACTTTAATGAGAGAACAAATTGAAATGTTGATGAAATTTTTATTTTTTAGCAAATAAGAGTTAACACAAGAGGGCATACAAACTCTTACCTGTCATTTTTTTTAAATACAATGCAACTTGAGCTTAAAGGGTGCTGGTTAAGTTTCAGTTAAAGTATTTCACTAAGAATAAAATAAAATTAGATAAAAAATGCATGTAACATGTAATATAAACTTTATGGAAACAAATTAATGAAATGTTGTTATTAAAAAAAATAAAATTAGTGGCAAGTGAAGTTACAGGAAACACACCCAAGTGGGTTTCTAATTGGTTGCTGGATAGACGGCAAAAAGTTGGTATTGGTAAAAATTTTTCAAACTGGAGAAATGTTACAAATGAGTTTCATCAAGGATCCGTATTTGAATTTTTGCTATTTGTAATATGCATTACTAATATTGATATAAGAATAAGGTCTAAAATTTCAAAATTTGCAGCTGACACTAATTTATTTGCTGTTGTTAGCAACAATAAAGATATTGAAATTTTAGCATGCGATTTGCAAAAAATGTGCAAATGAGCTGAGGATTGACAGATGGTATTCAACACCAACAAGTGTGCAGTCAAACATATGGGAGCAAACAACAAGGCAAATGTACTCAAACTTGGAAACACACCACTGAAAATGTAGAAGAGCAAAAGGACCTAGAGGTCCTTTTCATCAAAATGGTAAGGTAGGGCGGTGGGGCTGCAATGCATCGAAACAGCTAAAAGTGCAAACAGGGTTCTGGGTATGATAAAGAGAACAGTAAAAAGCAGAAATATGAGCGTCATATTAAACTTATAAAAAACATTGGTCTGACCAAAATTGGAGTACTGTGTTCAGCTTTGGAATCCCGATTCACCAAAGGGCGGACATATGCTAAAAAATATAGCAAAGAAAAGCAACGAAAATTATAAAGTTTTGCTGCGGTATGTCATGTGAAGACAGATTAAATGTTTGTGGTTTGACAACATTAGAAAAAAAGAACAAGATGAGTTTTGAATAAAGCATACAAAATTATCACCATGAAGGAGAAATTGGAATTAGAAAAATGTTTGAGCTTAGGATAAATAGCAAAACAAGGAGGCATAAATTTAAAAATAAGCTCGGTATGGAAAAAGCAAACATTTTTTGGCTACAGATTTGTCAACGAGTGGAACAAACTGGGAAATAAAATAATAAGTGCAGAAACAATAACTTTAAAGCAAACTTGGCAAAAATAGGATATTAAATGAAATGTCAGACTCAGTCTTTTTGGATCACTATAAAAATCTTTGTCATATTATGTTGAGTTAATTCAATATTTTAAATTTGAAAATTTGGTACACGAGGAATGGAATATGTCCAGTCATCGATATGTTAATTATTATTCTTCAATGTTTTTTCACCATTCTGGTTAACACGTAAGATACGAAAACAACGATTTAAAATTTGCTTAATTTTTTTCAAATGTTAACAATAATAATTATAAATAATTAGTTTGACAATCTATATTCCAGCTCGTATAACTTATTTTAGATTCTATAGTTTATTTGTTATTGATTTTTAACTTTAATTTTTAAAATACATTTGTTTCTAATCACAAACTCTTTTCATAAACATTGCATAACGGTTTATTATTTCCTTTTTAGCCAACATCTAACCTATGCGGTACGAATATGTATCCACATGCATTCGTTCTTCTTTTAAAAACAACATAAAATTGACACTACTAATCTTGCTAAGATTGCTACTTTACTGCTAATTATACTAATAGAGTCAAATTCTAAATGTTTATCTTATTAATATAACTTAATTCAGCCTTTTATTCACTAAAGTAATTGTTAAATTTTCAATAAACAACTAGATATGTAGCAAAAAAATTATATGCGGTAGAAGAGAGGCGAACAAATGTTTATAATCCACCTATCCAAGTTCAAATCTTTCAAGGCAAACTTCCAACAGCACTACATTTAGAGCATTTGTCAAATTTCAATCATTCCAAATTTATTAAATTTTATTTAATACTGTAACTTTTAGGTGCTCATATCGAACTCACAGAGGACGCACTCAGAATAGTCGCAATACTGATCATCCCAACCAAGGATATTAAATGAAATGTATAGAAGATGCTTTGGATGCAGTAGCCTTTACCGTCGTTATTAGAGTTTGGTTCTCCTGAGTGCCAGACTGATGCCTCCATCTGCACAAACTTGGAAACTCCTTGTTCATGAATACATGTGTAATTTAATGCTTAAATATACCAACTAATTTTAAGTAGGCAACGTTTGGATCGGAAATCAAAATGAGGAAATTGAGGAGAATAGAATTTTCAAAACCAAGTATAACAATCACTAAGTTAGTAAATAGAATAATTCAACCTGAATAAGGTAGCTAGAAAAACGATCTATTACCCTTCTTGAAAATTTGAAATCCGCTTGTAAAAAATCCAAAAGAGTTTGGTATGGCGGCCACAGGACATTTCTCAATATCTGCATCTATACAAAGGAATTGAAGTAAATGGTCGCACCCATTTCTAATAAAAAAAAAGGAAACCAAAAACCAACTAGTAGAGTTGACGTATTGAAGCGAGATGGTGTTTTCCAGGAGATCATCAATAGTGATGGGATGAGATGACGAGATGCTGTTACATAATGACCTCCCAGCACTCCAGCTCTGAAGTGTGTACTGCATCTTGTAGCACTTGTGGTACTATACCAGTAGTCAAAGTTGGCAGGACAATCTGTAGTGAAACAATCTAATACATTACAAACTTTTCCTGTATTTTAATAATATTTTAAAATGATTATAAAATTCGCCATGGTGAACGTAACCCTTGCAACCAACATTACTAGCAATCAGATCAACAGCAGTAACATTGTAACGGATGTTTGCTTTCGGAACACATGAACATGATGCGGTCGATTGAATATAATTCACTCCTCTTAATTCGCCATTTGTTACTGACTTTAGGCAAATAAAAATGTTTTGAGACACAGTTTATTGGGCTTATAAAAATAAAAAAAAAGAAAGAACTTATCATTTAAGTATTATATTTCATATTGGTAGCATAGCATAGCACAGCACGACGAAGTCAAATAGCGAAAATTTATTAAACAATTTAGAAATTTTCAAATAAAGCAATTTTTAAAAAGTTACAAAGTTGTTGATAATGGACACAAATTAATTATAAAACCTTCTAATAAACAATAATGTCAATACATTTATATAAAAATCGTAAAGTCTTTAAATAAATTGCAAATTTATTTTAGGTGCCCATGTCGAGTGGAACGATCAAATTTAGAATGGGTGAACCGGGCTTGCTGACTAGCAAATATTAGAAAAAAAATTAAAATAAAAAACAAATTGTTTCAGAAAGTAAAAAAGAATTTAGCTGAACCAACCAGGCATTTGATGATGCACTCTCGACGATCTCTGGCCTTGAACTTCTCAATGATGGACATTTCAATGTCGAAGCATACCAGCGTCGTCTTCAACTGGCCCACCAAGTAACTGTAGGCAGGTATGAACTTCTTGAAGGTCGTCTGTCCAACTTGCTCACTCAGGTCACCAACAGCAAGTGAAATGAACACTTTGATTAGAAATAGATCTTTCAATAAACTCAAAAAGTAGCACATATTTGAAATTATTAAAAAATTATACTAGTAGAAAATTTCAGAGGTTAACAAATAACTTTCTCGCAGTAAAACTCCAGCAAAAAACATACTTCATTTAAATGTATTTTTTGTTTCAGTGAGTCTTGATTTTTTTATGTAACCTTTTATGAAAAAATGAAAAATATTTCGGATAAAATAGTCAGCTATCAACGAACAAACAAATGAACAAATAAATTAGTGAACTAATGGACGAACAATTGAATGAACAAATGAATGAACTAATGAACAACTTTAGAATGAATGAACAAACGAACGAACAAGTTGGACAAACAAACAAGCAATTGAAACAAATAAATAAAGGTGTGACTAAACAGAGGAATAATTGAATAGGAGTGCTCATGAGACACGCATACCTCACCCGTCAACCCTAACAATGCAATGTAATTATCTCCATTATATAAATTCTACAACCGCAAACGTGTTGTACCCAACGCTCAGTGTGTTATATTTTTGTTTGAACACGTTGAATACGTTTAAGACTAAAACAATTTGATGCATGAAATTTTGAAAACTTGAGCAGAGAAATGTGTGAAATGAAATTTTTCATGCTTTTGAAGCAGGTATCTGCGTGCCTTATTAAACTTAACATTTCTGTGATTTACAGCTGATTAGTTATAACTACTTTAAATAAAAAATTATTTCATCTTGAAAAGAAGTTGATTTCTTTGGTTTCCCTGCTTACCAACAGAAACTCCTTTGTAAACTTTCACTATGTGACTTTTATTGCTTATATCAATAGGTGATTATTTGTTAACGCCATTAGAAATCAGTTCAGAATTGTTTTCAAATAGTTTGTTTACTTGAGCATTTAATTTTGTGTTTCTTATTTTCAAGTTTAGAAAAAAAGTTTTTCAATTTTTAATGAAATTAAAGCCTGAAAATTGTAAAGACTGTTACAACACAATTAGCATAATAGTAGATAGAATACACAATTTCAGTCATTCACCCCTACCAATTCAAAAAGATGAATTAAAAGCGCTACTACGAACATGTCTATTACTAAAGAAGACAGTAAAATTAACACAGTCATTGATGACAATAAGTGCAAATCACAGAAACAAAGGCTTAGATTATACAAATTCCCTATATAAACTGCAGTAAGTACTGGGTTATACACTCGAAAATGAATTGGAAAACTGTACATTATTCTAACTATTTTATTCAATAAAATAAAAAATGACGACAAGAACATGGTTAGAAATGTGGAGAAATGTAATCAAAAACTATCCAACGCTAGAACTTTGTCAGATTTCATAAATTATTGCATACATGTATATTTACATAAAAATCACAGCATGTTCCGCGTTAGTAAGCTTCCTGTTTATTATTTCAATTTTGTTAACGGCAGATAGTAAATTATTGTCAAGTTTCTAAAGTTCAAAACAAAAATTTTTATAATTATTTTAAGCATGATAGAACTATTAAGCATGATAGAACAAAGAGCTTTTTTGGTATTCTTATACCATCTTCGGTGTTCGAATTGATACGTTGTATATATGTGGTCGAGTGCTCAAGTATATATATCCTGTGCCTCTTGTTAATTCTTTGTTTAATGTGAACACTTAACGGTCATTTAATTAGTTATTTCAATCTTCAATTTAAAGAGATATAACCATACCCTACAAGTTCAAGGGGTCGGTTATAACAATAATAACACTCGATAAAACTTTATCATTCCCACAACTAGTTTTTTTTATTTATCGATCACCTCACTAGTTCACTAAGTCATCATCTAAGTCTAATTTTTATGCCATTAGTTCATTTTATTGTCAAATTATTTTATTTTATTCTATTTTATTTAATTTTTCCTGTTAAAACATTTTTCTTTCTCCGTTTTTTTTATTTATTTATTTACTTATTTGTTTAATTTTGTACTACTGCCTTGCATGCTGTAACAGTTTCTGCGTCTGTCAGATCCTGATTTTTAAAGAGAAAAAAACTTGTTTAGAAGCATAAAACAAGGAACCACCCAAATTACAAAACCATCGAGAAAACATGCCGCCATCACGCTAAATGTAAACAAATCGGGAGATTTAATCAAATAATGATGAAATATCAGTTTACTTAGATTTATAGTCAAATAATAAAGAACAAGTTAAAAAAAATTTTTTCTCTAAGCATATAAAACAGAAGAATAAACATTTTAATATTAACAAAGATATATTTAAATTGGGATAATAAAAGTATTTACAGATAAACAAAATATATAAAAATAGAAAATGTTTAAAAAAGAAAAAATAGTAGAAAGAAATGACATTTAAAAGTTATTGAAATTGAGCGCTATATAAACTCACAATTTAAATTGGTAATTCATTCTCTCTTTTGGAATTAATCCGACACACACATACGAACACACGAACAATCACACGCATACACACAAACACACATTGTATTAACTTCATATTCCATAAATCTCCATTGGAACCACTAAAAGGTAAAAAATGGAAACATGCTTGAAAAACAGAAATACACTTAGGAAAAGGTAGAAGCAAGAAAATTGTTACTTGTAAATTGTAGGCATATTTGAAAAACAGTGGGTAGCAGATTAATTATATTTGTACTAATAAAAATCGATAAAAGAAAAAACAATTTGGAAAATTATTCGAGAAATGGATGGATGACATAACAAAATCGACCGTGGTGGAAAAGTTGTATTCAAAAAATTTGTCAAAGATAGAAAAGCCTATTGGTCTTTTGGTCTTGAAAAATAAAGGACTTGCTTGACCAATCATTCGTTCGATAGTTTATTAAATATTCAATTTGCTCCCTCAGTTGTTCATCTATTAAAATTAAAATAATTCAGGTCACATTTCAAATATTACCTCATTTCCGTCTACATAATCATACCCCCGAATAGGGTAACTCCAATAACTTGCACCAACTTTCTGCACGGAGTCAAAGGTCAACCAGCTTCTGGCGTCTTTTAGTTCACAAGTACATCCATTTTGAAGCTCTGGTCTCATGTTGAATCCAGCACACATCCAGTTTCGTATACACATCAACATGCAAAGCTGCATCAAACATCTCTTGTTAGGCACTACTTCCAAACTATCGCCTACTATGTAACTGTCAATCACACGTCTGATGGCTCGCCTCTGTTGGTTAGCTGAAGAAGTTGCGTTGGAGTTGTGGATATTTATTTAAGTATATGAACGAATGATGTTTTAATTCTGTAAAAAATTAATTGTACTTGTAAAAATGTTCAAATGAATTATTAACACGCCATTGAAAAGTTAAAAATTGAAACTCACGGTTAACTGATAATGGCTTTTTGCAAACAAAATTATAACTAATGCTGCATAATCTATCTTTCCATTTTCCAGTGGCCGGCACCATTCTTACGCAGCACGTATTTTCATTCGGATCTCCCATAGCCCAATTAACAAATTTGAATTCAGTTCCATCGAGCCAGTAGCTGTTCTTTGATTGATCAAACCAGCACTGCGGTCTGTACATGCCTATCCAGTACTCAGTTTTTGAGCTTCAGTGGCGTATTAATGTTTAATTTTCAAATTGTCGTAGGTTTACGAAAATGAAATGAAAAATTTGAAAAATAAAATAAATGCAGTAATTTTTGAAAATATATTTTCATAATTATTAATCTAATTTCTTTTTGTTTTTGGCAAAGAGCTAATAAAATCGAAGTTTGTATGTGTCATCAACGAAAAGAATTCCTATTTACTGAAATAGATGACATTAAATATTTAGGCAGTTCAAAAACGTCTGGAAATCAATCAACCATTAATCGTTGATGGTGATTCTTAAGCCAAAGATCAAAATTATTAACCATGAATGCGTTTTTTTATTGACGTTCTCAGTAACAAGTCCCTAACAAGTTATTTGTGAAAAATGTTTAAAATGTTCTCAATTAATTAAATGTAATCTTATTAATTTGTAAAAATATACAAACTTGTTTTGGAGGAAGTCATTTTCTCCCTGTGACCCAATGCTGGCCAACAAACTTTCCAGACCCAAGCAGTGATTGAAAGCATCATTGAAGTTCAGAGACACTGTTGAAAAGTAGTAACTAAATTCTCCATAAGATATCCATCCGTTAGCATCTTTGTCTTGAGCTAAGATAATTTTTCCAATCAATTTTTTAAAATATAAAATAACAATTATCATTTTTTTTATTAATGAAAATTATCTTTAAGCTATTTTTCATTTGGAAATTCCTTACCTGAAACGTAAATGCTAAAACAGTTAAAGTAACATAATATATATATATATTATAAAAATATGGCATTGATACTAGTGTCTATGATACTATCTATGATATGATACTGAAACGTGAGATGACGGATATATTATTTTATATCCTAAGCAACCAACCAACTAACCAGCCAACCAACCAACTAACTAGCCAGCCAACCAACCAACACCAGCTAGCCGATAAGCCAACCAACCTAGTAACTAGCCAGCCAACCAACCAGCTAAACAACCAGCCAGCCAACCAGCCAGCCAACCAACCAAGAACCAACCAACCAACCAACCAGCCAACCTATAATCATTCTCTGAGTCCAACACAAAAAAATCAGCACATAAAGAAAAAATTTAAACACGAAAATCATCTCAGCACATTTACGTCTGTGACTTCGAAACGGTTTGTTCTTAAAAGTCATATACATTTTTTTAATGATATCAATACTTCAAAACGCTTTGCTATAATAATTTTACCTATTTTAACAAAAATATATCAAACAATTTTCAAATATCTTTTTATCAAGTTTTAAAGTTTTGACCGTCCAACCATCAACCAAATATAGAAATAATTCTATATTATTCTACTTCGAAACTACATTTAAATAGCCTAAATAGTGGCACGTGACGAAATTATTAGCGTGACGTCAGCAACTGTCATGGCGACACGGACAACATTTAACACGTCATCACCGTACGCTCGTCACTTCATATCATAGATAGTATCATAGATACATTGCGATACATATTGTTAATGTGTATCCATTTATTTTTATTTTATTGATTTTCACAATATTTCGTTCATTTATTACTTACCATTATACCGCCGTCAATTCTGTGAACACTAGCGTATTAAATAATTCAAACAGTTTTTTGTTCATTCTAACAAGCTAGTAACAGTTTTTAGCAAATACTAGTGAAAATAATGAGAGTGATAATTTTTTACAGTAATAATATTATATGTTTTGGTAAATGTTTTGCATTTGTTTTCTATCTGTTGTATCGTGTTGTCTGTTGTCGGATTGAAAACCCTAGCGACTAAAAAAGACTAATAAATGAAACACCACGAACTAACGAGATGATTTGTGCGGGCTTTATAAGAAACTGCGATAAGAAGCACGTGTCCAGACTATCCAAACGAATACTATTCTTTTCTTGGTTCGGTGTTCACAAACAGCCGCTTCTGCTGCTCTACTAGCGCCACAGTCGGCACCAGAAATACAAAACACTTCTTCCTCCTCGGGTCTCCGCCATCATTATCCTGTTGTAGATAATCCTGTATAATGTGCATAGCAACGTGGGGTTTTCCCGTTCCAGTTGGGGCGACGATGGTATAGTTCCTGCCTTTCATAGCATCCTCGTGCCAGTTCGATTTGATACCCTCGCAGCTCCAGTCCACACTTTGTTGGGCACGCTTCAACGCAGCGTGAGTTTGTTCTTTAATTTCTTCGGTATATTATTCATGGTTGGCAAAGACCAAGATGAAGGTTCAGCTTCATACATCATCTCTATCTCGTAAGCTTCTGAAATGACTTGCCGAAAAAATAACTTTTAATTTAACTTCTTATTTAATAGTAGAAATAACTTAAGCCAGGACAACACGAAATCAACAACGAAATGTTTATGTATCGGTTTTTTTATTTTTTGTTTTGTATGTCTTGTATCGTATGTTTATGTTTTGTTTTGTATTTTCTTATGAATTTGTATTTCATATTGTTGTGTATATATTGCGTATTATTTGTATTTATTCTGTTTGTGTATATGTTTTGTTTTTTGTGTATTTTAGTTGTTTGTGTATATGTTTTGTATTTATTTTGTATTTTATTTGTTTGTGTATATGTTTGTATTTCTGTTGTATTTATTTGTATTTGCATTTAAAACATTATTTCATTTACATTTCACAGAATAAATGTTTGTAATATTTAAGTGGTTTGAACGTAAAAAGTATCGAAGGTTAACATTAAAAACTTTTCTTTTTGTTAATTCTAAGAAGTATCAAACGACAAAATACAAAGTGCATGTTTATAAATGTATATCAACACGTGATGTACGTGATAAGCAGTTTGGGTGCATCACCGTCAGACTATGAAGGAAGGAATTTACCTTTCCTTTAAACTCCATAAAAATCTTATTAAATCTTTGTAGCGATAAGGTTTGATTTCTTATTAGTGGATTAAACTGTAATATTTTTTCAAAAAATTTAGCTACATTATAAATGGTTCATCAGATGAACAAAATTATTTCATATTTAGAAGATTCTTTGTTTATTTTTGCTTAGTTCTTTGTTCTCCACTAAATTGTCGGGCGATATAATCATAAAATTTTTGCTAGTTTAAAATTCAGCGACTAATTTGTGTCACTAATGGCTCAAACGGAAGAAAAAGGGTTCGTTAGATAATTTTTGTTTAAATATTTTTTAGAATTATAAATTACTTTGTTTACATTTTGACGACTTTCAGAAAGCTATTTGTTGGGGGACTTAGCTGGGAAACCACACAAGGTTGAATTTTTTTTTAATTATTATTGCTAGTAGTGTTTTTTTGTTTTGTCTTCTGTATTGACTTTATTATTTATGTTAGAAGATGATTTGTTGTATAAAATAAAACTATAGATTTATAAATAAAAATAAATGTTATAAAATTAAAGTACAAAAAACTAAAAAAAGTAAAACTTTTTTTAAATATTTAGTAAATATTCAATCTTCTTTTTAAAATGATTATCCAATGTTGAATATACTGATTATTACACTAAATAGTGACTAATTATTTTATGACAATAATTTGGTTTGGCAATTAGCATTACATTACGATTACATATAGCTGGGCTAAACTAAAATTTATACTTTGTATAATTATAATTAATATAATACTGTAGTGTATAGTATTTAAAAACTTCTAAATTTAATCTATTTTCTAATAATATTGATGAGAGGGCTATTTTGTCTTTAGCGAAATGGAATATTACTAAAGACTTAGAAGACCCAAAGCTGATCTTCAATTTTGCTAAGCATATTTATAATTTGACTTCCTTATTTTATATATAATATAATAATAAATAATGTAATAATCATTTCAGCCCTTAGGAATATTTTTGTCTTGATATTTTTTTTAGCAAATTTTAATTATATAATTTCATAATATTACTTCACAGCTTCTCTCATGACATATTTCAGCAAATTTGGTGAGGTCCAGGATTGTGTGGTAATAACGAACCCAGCGACGGGCAAGTCAAGGGGATTTGGATTCGTCACGTTCAAGGACCCTGCCTGTGTGGACACAGTTCAGGCAGCTGGTCCTCACATCCTGGACGGCAAACAGGTACGAACATTGAAATCTACATTACAGTTATTCATTCACCATCAATTTCAGTTATTCATTTACCACCAATATGATTTTAGACTTAAATAAAAAAAAAGAATTACAATTGTAAATCATTGTTTTTCTTTTGAGATTTTTTATTATTTTATTAATTAATTAGCATTTCTTTTATTGTTAACTAGAGAGCTTGTTCTTCGTTTACATATTCAATTGTGTTTTGTATGTATGCATAGTTGCAATTGGAAACATGGCTTGGTTTTTTCCAACTGTTCACCACCTAATTTTAACAAGTTTCATAAAAATATTGTCTGCCACAGCTTTGTTTGTTACACGTACAAACACACACACACACACAAACACACTCAAATAAATATGTTTTTGTGGGCTTGTGCGTGCATGTAAGTGTGTGTGTGTGTGTGTGTATGTATATTTTGTTTATTTATATTTAAATTTCATAATAATATGAATTTTTTCGCACAATTAGATTGACCCAAATGGATGCAATCGTAAAAAAGTACCAAAAGTTGGTGATATATTTTCTGTTCTTTTTGCCATTCAAGTTTTCTAAAGTTTTGTTATTCATTCATTTATTTATTTAGTTAGTTAGTCAATTATTTAATTAATTATTATATCATGCAAATGTTGTACTTTATATGCCTATAGGTGAGATTAGTTTTGTGTTCATAGCTTACTGAATGAACACTGTTCTTAAAGAACACTGTTCGAAGACAGAATAATTTAAACTTTTGAATGAATTATTTTTGCATTATTTTACTGCTATTGAAGTTATTATTTGTTGTTTTGGGGGTTGTTATTTGATTAATTAACTATCAAACTAGTCCAAAAAAGAGAGCTAGACATGCACGCACGTTTAGCCCATCTATCTGTTTTTATACTTGGCGGAACATAATTCTTTTAAATGTATTTACTCTACATTTGAATTTTTATACACGATGAAGAAAAGTTTTTTCAATTTATTTCGCTTGAATTAAACTCTTATTGACTCCTGCAATATTTCTAATCATGAAAAATGAAATCATTCAAATGAATTCACAATCCTTTAGTAGGACAGCACGACAATATGCCTTAACTTTTATATCATCTGGCAAAAAAAAATTAAAAAAGATTCAAGTAATTATTTCTTTCTTGGCATGTTCAACTAGGGAGCTAAGGGCGCAGAAAATTGCAAAAAGAAATTATTTGTCGGGGGCCTGCCAGCCAACATCGATGAGGCCCAACTCAGGGAGGGCTTTGGTAGTTATGGGAAGGTTAATCCATTCATTCATTCAATCATTTATTTGTATACTCGTTCTTTGATTGATTGATAGAATGATTGATTGATTGATTGATTGATTGATTGATTGATTGATTGATTTACTTATTCTATTATTCAATCATTTTAACCTTTTGTAATTTATTCGGTAATTTTCCTCCCAACAGATCAATGAAGTTGTCATCGTTTACGACCAACAAAAGCAGAAGCCGAGAGGTGTTTATTCTTTTTTAATTAACTAAAATTAATTTCCTCATATAATGTTTAAATTATAAAAAGATGTCAGTTTAATTAATTAACAAGATAGGGTTGAATTTAATTATATTAGTAACAGTCGAAAATTGGTGATAACACATATAGGTGAATATATATTTAATCAATTAGTTAATTAATTTAATTAGTTTATTCAATCACGCTACTCTTTAATTAATTTTAATAGAAATAAAAGCGGAACATTTGTTATTGCGTGCATGGATGATTTATTAATATTTGTAATAATTAATTAATTAATTAATCAATTAAAACTATTTGTAATAATTTATTTATATTAATAGAAAAAATAAAAAACAAAAGCAGGAAATTTGATAGATAGTTATTTAAATATTTTAATAAATAAATAAATTAATCAATTAACATTTTTTTCTCATTGCGGTTACAGGCTTTGGATTTTTGACATTCGAGAGTGAAGATAGCGTCGATAAGATTGTCAAGGAGAGGTTTGTCTTGCTAAATGGCAAACAGGTGAGTCGTCATCATGCCTTTTATATTATGATTAATATTTTGTAAATAATTATATATACATTAATTACTACTATTATTATTGTAAGAATAATTAGAATCAGTATTGTATAATTGATTAGTGTTTTTACAATGGCCAAATTTTAGGATTATCTACTGCAATCTATTTCTTTGTTTTTTTTTTTTTTTTAAAAAAATTCACTTAAAAGAACAGAGGGACTTAATTTTCTTTTAGATGTTTTATGTATGTTTGTATATAAACAGTGGAAAATAGCTTTTCTCCACATGTATATGCAACCGTAGCTGAAGCAACAAAGTGCGTCTAACTTAGAACGAGTCAGGTGTTCACGCTAATGCACCTTTGGTTATGGTGGGAGAGTGTTTCAGTTATATCAACAAAATTAAAACTGCTAGGGTGTTACATTTTTCATGTCCTAACTTACGACTCTGAGTCCTGGACAATTTCTAAAGAAATGGAAAAAAGGATTAACGCTACTGAGATGTAGTTTTTGGGAGGAATTATGAAAATTAGTTGGACCTCTCATACCTTGAATGAGGATGTATTAAAACAGTCCGGTTATGAAAAGAGGAAATTACTACAGGTAATTTGATAAAGGCAGTAAAAGTTTTTTGGTCACATCATGCGGAAGGAAGGGATGGATGGAAAATCTAACAACTACTGGAAAGATTGCAGGTAGAAGAGATCGCAGTCAGCAACAAACTACATTCGTGAAGTCCTTGTGTCATTTGTTGAATATCACCACTTTTCAACTACTACAAAGTGTTAAAGATCAGGTTTTGTGATGGTCGATGGTCGCCAATGTCCTGAAAGGATAGTGCTTGAGTAATAAGATGAAGAGTGAGTGTACTTTATGTACTCTTACTGGCCAACCGTACCTGGTTGACAAACTCACCCATGCATATCTATACGCTTATATATATATAAATATATATTACAATGGATGAGGAAGTATAGAATATGAAGTGAACAGTATGAAGTCTGCTAAAACAACATAGAAGTTAATGTAAGATTATAAATGAACTACAGCCAGGCAGTTTTAAGAGAAAAATTTGCTACTATAATTACATTACATAAAAATATACACTACGTTCATAACATATCTTTTTTTATTATTATTATTTTAAGTTACTAATTTTGACTTATTAATATTAATTGGACTCACTGATGCATATTTAAAAACCTTGCTCGTCTCAGGTTGGGATGATTAGGATGATGAGGAGGAGGAGGAGGCTGATGATGACAATTATGATAATTATTTTTATTGTAAAAATATAATAATTATTATAATAATAATAATAACTTGTATTAAACTTAAATTGAAAAGATAATAATTTCGTTTTAATTTAACTTTTGTTGCATATTAAACAAGGACAATATTTTCCTCATTAACTGTAACTCAAAAAATATTTTTTTAGGCAAAAAATAGTTAAAACAAAGGTCTGTCTATATGTCAGAGTTTATGCTTTTTTATCTTATCTCATTTTTTTACACAAATATGGGTGGTTATAAATTAATTTTATGGTTGTGTATTTGTTTCTATGTTTTTCTGTTAGTTTCCTGTCTGGCTGTGCGTCTGTCTGTGTCTCCCTTTCTATCTATCTCTCTCTCCTCTCTCTCCCTCTCCCTATCTCTCCTCTCTCTCTCTCTCTCTCTCTCTCTCTCTCTCTCTCTCCTCTCCCTATCTCCTCTTTCTCTCCTCTCTCTCTCTCTCTCTCTCTCTCTCTCTCTCTCTCTCTCTCTCTCTCTCTCTCTCTCTCTCTCTCTCTCTCTCTGTTATTTTTATATTTTGTTGTTTTGTGTCTGAGAAGGAATGGCAACTTTTGGTGGTATCTTTATCTTATTTTGTATCTTTCTGACTCAGTCACACGTCTATTCAAACGTGTGACTGAGTCAGAAAGATACAAAATGAGGTTATAAAAAGTCAAGGTTGCCATGCCATGAGCTTGTGTGTGTGTGTGAAGTTTTTCTTGGAGTATTAGATTGGTTTATTAATAATATGTTATTATGTGCAAGTTATAGACTTTCAAAGATTCATATATTATTAGAGTATCTCATTTTTTTCGTTTTCATTTTATACTCTTGTAGTTTGCAACTTGTTGGATTAACTAATTAATTCATTAATTAACTGTTTAATTGATCGATCAATTGATTTTATTATTTATTTATTTGTTTATTTATTTATTAATACGCTGGCTCAGTCATTTGTTCATATTTTTCAACATTTTCTTTTTTTATATATAGTTATATAGTTTTTTTTCAAAATAAGTCAAAATATTTCCCGGCAAAATATTAATAAACTAAAAATTGTAGTTATAATTTGTTATAATTTGGCTGTTAATTAGACGCTGAAAAACATAAGTGGCCTTTTATAATTTTTTCATCAATTGATTGATTGATTGATTGATTGGTTGATTGGTTGGTTGATTGGTGATTTATTTGCCTGGATGGCTAGACAGCTGGTTGGCTGACTAACTGGCTAGTGTTAGTGGGTTAATTGGTTGGTTATTTAGTTGCTGGCTGATTGTTTATTTAGCCAGTACGCAGGCTGGTTGGTTGGGTGGCTGGTTGGGTGATTGATTGATGGGTTTGTTTGACTGGTTTGCTCTCTTTCAGGCTTGCTAGTTAGGTAGCTGATTAGTTAACAGAGTGGCTAATAAATTGGTTGGATGGTTGTTCAGACAGTTGGTTGGTTGGATGGTTGGTTGGCTGGCTAATTGGTTGACTAGTTGCTTTCTGAATGTTAGTTTTCGGAACACAGGCCACTCATGTTGTTATTTCATAACAATGATTATAGATATGACTTATTTATTTATAACATTTATTTTATCGATCGGTATAGAGATTTTATTATCTATCTCTTACAACGTTAATAATAATCAATTGTATGAATAATGTTGTATCAGATTTGATTTAACATGGAATGTTCATTAAACGTTAAAAGGCACTAGCAGGCACATTGCAGTAATTGATACTTGCTTAGATATCTTGTATGCTGCTTATCATAGGCCCCAGAGCTATAGATCGAGATCACACTTCTTTTATATGATATTTCTCCTTTGTCTTTTTATTCAGTTATTGTTATTATTCGTGTTATTATTATTACTATTATTGTTGTTGTTGTTTTTTTTATATCAATGATATTAACCACAAATCATTGAAATGCTTGATCAAATAGATGATGAAAGTCTGGTCACGTTAATTTTTTAAAAGTTTTTCATAGCTTATGTTCACCTGTTCGGTCATCTGTTGGTTTGGTTTTTATCTGTCTAGTTAAATTATTGTTATGCAGTGATTTTTTTCACAATTATTACCTCCCAATGTGTCTTGTATTTTAGCTCTCCTAGACTAGAAACTGTTGACTAATTTCATGTGATGTTCGTCGTTGCCGCAAATTTGTTGCGTTAGATTGGGTGATCTAGCTAGCTAACTAACAAACAACAACAACTAAATGTCTAAAAGAATATCAATCTATTTTCCATCCATTCCATTCAGTGCTTACTGTGTTTGATCCAGTCCCTAAGACTTTTATATTTTGTTATAATTTTTTATGATGATTGTTTTATTTTATATTATTATAAACCATTATTATTATTATTACTATTGTTGTTATTTCTTTTTGTTCTAGCTATCTTGATGTTCTTGTATACACACTGTATGCCAATATACATTGGTTGAGCCTGTGTTTGTTTTCATTTTTAGTTATCTTAAATCAATATAAGTGCACTCATCTAGTGTTTGTTTGTTTGTTTATTTGTGTGTTTGTTCATTTGCGTGTTTGTCTGTTTGCTTGTTCGTTCGTTCGTTTGGTTAGCTAATTAGTTGTCAAACAAACATGGGATGGTTGTTAGGTTGGCTTTGTCATAGGGTCGCTAAGTCATTTTTTCATATTTTTATTTGTATTATTATTATCGTTGTCAATATTATAATTAATGATATTCATCTTTTTCAATTTAATTCGCCAAGATTGTTCGAACTAACTGACTGTTTGACTTTGGAACGTTGCTTTTTGGCTCATTGATAAAAGTTGATGTTAAGCAGACTGGATTTTTTTTTTCCTGTCTTTAATTCCATCATAGCTTAACAATTATATTATGTGTGCGTGTGCGTGTGTTGTGCATTTGTGTGTTATATTTATGTAAAAATAATCACTCTTAGATGATAGCTTTTGCATGACACAATCATTCTAACCTATTTGAGAAGATCTAATGTTATATTAACCAGTTTAGTGTTACAGAGTTTTTTTTATGTAACTTTTCGAAATTCTGATTAATTTTTCATTTATGGGTGGTTAAATTTTTGTTAATTAGTTGTCGTAATCTAATCTCAGACGGATATAAACATAGAGCCTCAGCCTTATGTGAATGTACTTGAAAACAAAAATAATTGCCTTAAATTTATTATTCTTGTCAGCTGAATTCAGTAGTTGCTAATAAATCTTATATTTTTTCTTTTTTGTTTTTTTCATTTTTTATTTATTTGTTGTTTCTCAGTTTTTGTGTTGTTCAGAAATAGAAATTGCGTATGCTAAAAGTTGTTCATACCTATAATTTTGATAAATATTATATTATTTCATGTTATTATTATTATTTTATTGTATATTATTATTGTTGTTGTTGTTGTTTTTGTTGTTGTTGTTGTTTGTTTGTTTGTGTACTACAAATTTTTCTTTGTGTTTTGTATGTTTGATTCCTTGTTAGATACCTTTGGCATTTAGCGGAAGATTTTAACAGTTTGTTAATGATTTCATATCTTATTAAAATTTGCCTCACCGTCATTCTTTTCTTATTATCACTTTTTATTCTTTCCTTCTTCTTGTTGATTGATTGATTTATTTATTTGTTTATATCTATTAGAATTTAATTTCATAAAGCTTTTTTCTATAAATACAAAAATATTTAGATCTGGAGACGTTAAATGAAAGATGTTGGGTCATTCTTATACATATGTGTGCATGTACTGTCTAGTACACCTTAATGTTATTTTTATTTTATCTACTGTCACTAACATTTGCATATGCAATTACATTTTCCATCTAATAATTATCATAATTTAGTAACGATATTAGCAATTTAGTGATGATGGTGTTGCATAAATTATTTTGGGCCTGTAATAATTTATGCACATACGTTAATTACATTGGTGTGGCTCTTAATAACGTTGGCTATGTTTTTTTTCTTTTTGATGATGCTTTTTTTTAACTCTCTCCACTTTGATAGTGAATGATTTAGTTTCACTTTCGGTTTCTATTTTTAATAACAAACAACTCTTTCACATAATTTTCCATCCTATGATTTCATAGTATTTTTTAAATAATTATTTTACACAAATAATTACGATTAATATCTGAGTAATTATAAATTGTTGTTGTTGTTATTATTATTATTATTACTACTACTATGTTAGCATCATTTGAAAATACAGCTGTTTCTAATACTGTTTGTTTAATAGATCGAGGCTGATTAATTTATTTTATTTGCCATATTAATCAGACCACATGTGGGTATATGCATTTTATTTATTTAGTCCATAGCTAGCTCGTTCGTTTGTGTTTTTTTTTTTTTTTTAAATATTCTGACTTAAGATTTGTTTTGTTTGTTATTCATTTATCTTTCCATATACTGCTTATTTTATTTTATTTATTCACAATTTTTATTTTATTTATTTGTTGGAGTAAAAAAAATGTTTCGTATTTTGATTTGTAGAAAGGTTCTGATTAATTAGTTACTGGACTAATTAATTAATTAATTAGTTACTCAACTAATTAATTAATTAATTAAACAGGCTATATTCATTCTTTCATTTGTTTCTGGATTGTTAAATAGTAAATAACGATGTTCATTCTGTTGTTTGTACATTGCTAATATATCTGCTCGGTTTCAATTTTACCATTCTACTTTGTTTCTGTTTGCCCTTGCTATTACTATTTCCAAAGATAACGACACTGAATGATTTTTTTCATCATAATGATAGGCACTAACATCATCGACGTCACCATCATTATAATAATTTATGCCATCATCATCGTCACCACTGTAATCATCATCACCGCTGCTGCCATCATTATCATCACCGCTACAATCATTATCATCATCGTTGCTGTTAGTATAATCTTTTTGATATTGTCATAACCATACCAGCCACACAAGAATTTATTTATTTTTCACAAATTAAAGGCTTAGATGATGTACATCATACTTGCATGCACACACACACACGTATCTTTACGTGTACATACATACATACATACTTGTATTCATGATACCTTCATTCATTTGATCTTCCTTTTATATCGAGGTGTGCTTGCGGATGTGTGTGTGTGTGCGTGTGTGTGTGAATACGTGTACATGCGTTCAAACTTTCACCTGATGGCAATTTGATATTATCTTCACAAAAGTTTCATCATCTTTTCAAATTTAAACACGCATTCAATCATTTGAGACGACGTGCCATCCAATCTGCTAATCGATTGTTATCAGTAGCTCGTAACAATTATACAGCTCAAATTAACGTAATCTGTCGACCATCACACAAACCTATTCAACCTATTCAACTTGAAATAACCGCGCTACCTAATGACCAGGTTGAATGCAAAAGAGCTGAGGCTCGCGAGACCCAAATGCCCCCTCAACTGATGAACACTATTGATGGTACTCAGGGTCTTATGATGCTCGCCCAGGGTCCCGATGGAGTGATAGGGCTGGTCCCTGCTGCCACACAGCATCCGGGTCTCGTTTATAATTCTGCAGGTGGTTTGGTCACTCCCACTGAACTTGCAAGTGCTTACAGGGGACTGATTCCTGGTCATGCCAACATGGCAAGTGTCGGTATGCCCTCCGAAGTTGGATTGCCGGGGTCCGCCGGTTTGTCAGGTTAGCGTTACCGTCTGTGCGCTGTTATATACATGAATGTGTGCATGTATTATTTGTCTGTGATGTATGTGTATGTGTCTTATTCGTGTGTATATGTGTCTGTGTCTTGTGTGTATATGTATTTTATGTGTTGTGTGTGTACAACTCTTTCATGCATGTGCTTCTGTCTATAAGTTGAAAGAGAAAAAATATGTAAATGTTATTCTAGATATGATAACCATATTTTGATGATGATGGCGACCGTTGATGATCATTATTTTTATATTTTCTGACAAGGGTTACATGATTTTCAAACAATGAAATAATTTTATTCCTTATAATAACATTATAACATCTTACCTTCTTTTAAATTTATTTATAGGCTTAAAGTATATATCCCAGCCAGTTGGATCACAACAATACATCATGCTTGGTTGGTTGCTGCTGTCGTATCTTTTACATTCATTCATCTCATTTGCCTTGATCATCTAATTATCCAGTCTCTCAGACAAATGACCAGAATTTCAAATATCAAATGCAATTTGAATCATATTACAAACATGTTATATTTGATAATACATAATGAGAATATACTTAATTATTTAAAACTGGCTAAAAAAATTAATTTAATACGTAAATAATTGATGCATGAATAATTATTGCGTGAATAATTAATACGTATATAATTAATAATTAATATTTTAATGCTGTTTTAATTATGAACCCCATACAAATTAATAATCTATACATGAATATTTAATTTTCGACCACTTTAATTTGGTAAGGTGGCGCCTCACCCTCACCTGCCACCGGGACACTTGGCGGAGCCGGTGGCTACATAGTTCAAGGGGGGTCTGCTGGGGGAGCAGGTGGATTGCTAGTGCACGGTGGTGCCGGTGCTGGGGTTAATGGGGTCGGTGGTTTGGTCATGGCAGGTGCTGCTCCTGGTCAGACTGGTCAGTTTGTTTTTTTTTTTTGTGATTTGCCTTTTTCTACGTATGTTGTCAGTAAAAGAAAAGATGAACTCACAAGAAATGCAATGAAATAATGAATAATAATAAATAAATAATTTTGTAGCTCATCTGATTTTATGATTCATCATTTCATTCGTTAACAATAACGATGCCATTTATCCACCACCCCATGCATTCCCTCATTTATTCTTTTAATAATTTACTCAACTTAAACTACACTCCCCTGTTGAGCAGGTGGTGTGCTGGTGGCAGCTCCTGGTGGAGGCAGCTACTTCGTCCACTGCAACTCTTCACTCCCTGCAGTTGCCAATGGGGGTAGTGGGGGTTACATACTGACGGGAGGAGCAGGCACCGGTGGAGGAATTCTGGTTCAGGGCGGAGCAGGAGGGCAGCAGTATCTGATGCAGTATCCTGGAGGCGGGGCTTCTTTGGTGCAAGCTGCCAATCAAGCATATGATTTTGGTGGTGGCGTTGGCCTACAACAAGCTATTCATTGTTAGATTTTTTAATTACTTTACCGGCAATATTTGGACGTGAATTTCTTAAATATTCGCATTTGTAACTTGCCTGATCTATCTGATGCAGCAAATAATTTACTTCCATGCAGCCAATAAGATTTCAGCATTCTCTAAGAACAGTGGCCAGTTGAGTGATGGTGAGAAATCGAGTAACATCATCGCCGCCCCGTCATATTCCGTCATCAATCCTTACACTGGAGCTGCTATCGGTGAGATGTTTCTTTAGGTCGTTTAATGATTGATTAATTGGTTGATTAGTTGGTTGATTGATTGATTAGTTGGTTGATTGATTAGTTTCTTTACTATTTGGTTTTTCAGTAAACTAATCAGTTGACTTTTATCATCACACCAGCTTTTTTTTCAGAACAATTTATTCCAAAAACACTTTTTATTGTTTCTGTTACAATGCAATTTTTAATATTTGAAATGAAAATAAAAAAAAGTACCATTTCTTTTATTGGTGTGTCATTTTTTGGGGGGAAAATTTTTTTGTTGGCAGCGACCCCAACCATAAAAATGAAAATGAAAGTTTTGTGCAGACTCCTGGTCGCTATTGGTTAATGAAGAGTATTTGAAGTTGTCGTTGGTTGTTATTTTGAGTTAGTTTCAGTGGTTCTAGGAAATTCCAGGAAGTGTCTGTTTGCTTCGAACTATCATTTTCAGCACTTTCATTCTCTTCAATTGTCTGTTTGTGAAAATACAGAAATATTTGAAACATCGTTAGCTGCCAAATCTCAACATCGTTAGTGACTCTTGGTCAACATAGACATGGGCAAACAGTTAATTTTTAGAACTTCAGTCACAGATTACCAATTTTTTATTCAATGAATCCAATAATGAACCAAAATTTACCATATAATTAGGCTTTTGTATTCAAGAAGCCTTATTTCCCCAGACTGCCACTCACACTGACGCCCATGTTCCGTCAGTTCACCATTCATGCCGGACCCTTCAGAAGAAAAGTCGTATCTAGTTGTTACATAAGTTGGAGGAGATTTTTATCAAGGAAGATTTTGATGTTCGGCTGTAATTCTTCGGCATCCGATAGAAATTTAACGGTTTTTTACTTCCATTTTTCACAAGATTCCGTAAGTTCAGTGCAGGTTATGCCTCTGACGAACAATCCTCTAGCCCTACCAACACCGGCACCTATTATAGAAATCAACAATTAATTCACTTTAGAAACTTTTTTATATTTTTCTTCTCTTCATGTTTGTTGAGTGAATAAAACGAAACTTCGTTATCAACCAACTAGTTCGCATTCTTCGTACTTTAGAAAAAAAAGTTATTTGAATATTAATATAGTTAATACTCGCGAATGATAACTACGAGAAGAAAATTAATATTCATCAGCGTCAAATACGTCTTATTTCAATAAATTTTTATTAAGAAATATTTAAATCGCATGTTTACATTACCGTGACAAAATTTTGGTTCTGTTTCAATTTTCAGGTGGCATCATTAATTTACGATAATTTAAAAAGACCTTCACATTCGGGTCGACAATGACGAACACCTTCACATCACCATCATCTTCAGCGCATAATCGTGACGATCATCCTATCATCATCATCACCATAGGCATTGTTGGCGGAGCGTCGTCAGCCTCTGTACAAGATAGCCAACAGTTGGACGAACCTCCCCTCAGACTTACCTCCAGTAATCAGCAGGATTCCTCCACACCGTCCACCTCGACCGCACAGGCCACCCCTAAGGTGGGCTACTACATCGTGCCCAGCGCTGGAATGGTCGGTGGGGCTGGTGGCGTTGGACTCTCTGGTTCGTCCTTTGAGTTTCAAATTTATTCGGTGTTTCGCATATTTTTTGTTTAAATGAAAATAATTAGATATTTCGTTTATTTATTAACGTATGATTTGCCTTATTGCAATAACGGAGGAACAAAATATATTTTGATGATTGATATCTTTAATTTGTGTGAGTAAGTTCATCGTCCACCTATAACACTATCTCCAGATACATCTCCACATACAAACACATTCATGACCAGGCTACACGGGGACTCAGTACGGCTCGCCAATCTTTGCGGCCACAGACCCCAACCAAGCGACCATCATCGCAGCCCCTTCCCTCACCCCTTACGGCAGAGTTGCCTCCAACCACGCATCCATTGCCCAGGGATACCACCCCTATAGGCGATAAATTCTCTCATTCATCTGTCCATATTTGCTGTGTGTGTGTGTGTGTGTGTGTGTGTGTGTGTGTGTGTGTGTGTGTGTGTGTGTGTACACGTTAGTATTTTCATGTTTCCATGTACAAATGTCATATGTATCTAATATCTGAACAATGCAGATAGCAATCGTCGTCGTCATCGTTCCTTCTTATGGATATTTTTTCTGGGCCAGACCACTTTTATGTAGTCACCCACTTTTAGTTGTGGTGATGGTGACCATGGTCATGGTTACGGAGGGAATGATGATGATGATGATGAAGCGGGCGATAATGTGGTGATGGCGAAGGAGTGTTGATGATGTGTGTGTTGGTGATGATGATGATGTCGATGAGAGTCATGATGATGATGACACAATTTAGATCAGGAATAATATATAGTTTGTTATGTTAAATATCATGTTATTTTCTGTTTATTTCTAATGAATAACTCGTGTGAGTGTGTGTGTGTGTGTGTGTGTGTGTGTGTGTGTGTGTGTGTGTGTGTGTGTGTGTAAAAATTCCTGTGTCTATCTTCCTTCCACACGGATCAGTGAGTACATGTGTTTCCGGGATTTTTAATATATCAATTAATTTATCATCTGTCTGTATTTTGTTTCAATACTTATTTCAATTTATTCATGCATTATCATGTCCCTTGGTGTTTTGGTTTTTTGTAAGAAAATTAATAAAGGACGAATATTAATTTTATTAATATTTATTTAAATTATAATTTAATTATATTATTATATAGAATTTGTACAGATTGTTGTAATTGTTAGGCACCTGATTTCTAACCTCTACATTGGGTGGCGGGCTGGTGTAATGGTTAAGGCGCCTGTTGCTGCTTTTGCAGTTACCAGGTTCGAATGGAAAGTGATCCCCGACTGTCGCATGCATGCGTTTGTGTGGCGTGGTTTCATGGATATTTGCATATGCTTCGTGTCTGTTGTTGGTTATTCTTAGAAATGAAATGAATTGTTGTATCCAATTTTAGTATCCAAGCTAATATCCAAAATAATATTATGTCTGGCATAATGAGACAATTGACAGAGGACCGCTTGGATTCAGTTAGCTATCCATTTTTTTATTATTTATTTTTTTTATTGTTATTTTTCAACGATCGTGCGAAATCCCTTGTTTACAATTGTTTTATTCTTATCATTTTTCATCACTCGTATTATCGTTTTAATTATTTATTTATTTCCATTTTCTCAAAATTTTTTCAATCTCTGAGAAGCGGACGAGATTATTTAAGAGAAAGAGGAATGGATGTAAGGATTTTAAAAAATTGTTTAAAGTTATGTGCGTGCGTGTGTATGTGCGTGTGTGTGATACATAGTTATTTTCGTGAATAATTTGTGTATGTTTGCATTAATTTTTATAGTTCCTTTATTTAAAACTCTGATGGTTATAAATTCACGAATTTGACAAAAATTTAATAATTGGGAGGATGGTAGCTTGCCCCTGGTAATTTTCACCTTTTTCAACTTTCCTTTTTTTTGCATCTCATCAACTTGTTCTATTTTATTTTAATCTGACTCTACAGCTTGCGTGCGATGTGTTCCATGTACTGAATCAGAAAAGAATGGCCGTGTAATCTGTTACAACGTCCAAGTCAATATCGTTAAGTGGAGATGTTGAAATTTAAGTCTCGAATGAATTTTAATGTCAGGCTGACGGTGTCTTGCTTCATGTGAAAGATGCCTGTGTAAAACGTTCTTCAGATATTTCTTTTTAAACATGCGTCGGTGGATATGTAAATTGCAAATAAGTGTTTGCTGTTCTCGTATCTACGTATATTCATTCCTCCATTCTTACACTCGTCCGCAGTCACTTTTTCTAATTGAAAGTTAAATACTTTGTGTATTTACGTTGTTGTAACGATATAAATAATAAATTAAAAATAATCTTTTTAAATATTTATTAATTACATGTATTTATTTAAAAAAAATTATAATTAAATATGTGTGTGTGTATAGTCTTTTTATATATATTTCCAATTTGTTTATTTCTTGACCAAGCAAAACGACATGTGGGTGCGTGTGTGGTGTGGTGAAATATGTGTATATATAATATGTGCGTGCAGTATTCAAGTAAATAATATCTGTGTGTCTGAGTTGAACAGCGTGTACTAACATTTTTTCTGTATCGACTGACTGTTATCATTTAATGTTATTTGAATGTATATTTCATAAAATGCAATTAAAATAAATTGGCAAAAAATACGGCGGTTCATTACGGGTTTGTCTTTTTTAATTTTGTAATTGTGTTTAAAATGTGCCGTTATCTATAACTATTTGGTTTGCAATCTGTTGCCTAGTTCCGACAAACATAGAGTCCCTTGCTTGCATTCAAATTTTTGTGCCACGAGCAAAGGTTCTACCAGAGTGTTGGAGTCTGAGGTTTTTCACCCGACACCCTGTGTTTTACCAACATCTGCATCACACGACGCACAAAGAAGATCGTCGCTTCATACACCGCACATGATAGCGACGCATGAAGCGACACGAAACTTTTACTGGCCGGTTTTAACATGCAACAAGATAATGTTTTAATATTTTATTTTTCATTTCAACAGAAATAAAATCGGTAATTTTAATTCAGATCTTCTTTCTGCTTTATCACATTCGCGAGATCGCCGTGTTTACTTTCAGACTGTTTAAGCACTATAACAAGACTTCAACTTTTTCCTCAGAAATTTTGTCTAAATGAACGAACGCATTAGTTGCAATTATTCAATTTTATTGGTAGACATAATGCTATTATAATTAAATCAATTTAAGAAACACGAAGAGACATTTGAGTTGATTTGGAAGGAAATATAGTTATACATGAGAACGTGGCAATTATTAAACAATATTTAGAGATAGAAACCTTGATAGCAAAAGTTTAGAAATATTGACACATATCTATATTTCCATCCACAATATTTCCATCCAGATTTACAAACTTCACTTAAATTTATATAGTCTACTCACTCAAATGTTCATGTAATCTAATGAAAAAATCATTGTCAATAGTCAACTGCCGTGTCCGTAAATTTAGATCGTATTATGACTACACGCCATCTGCCACTGAGTTACGATAATCTTCCGAGAAGCGAATACTGAGGTTTTACGACCAAGAAACATCGGAAGAGAGAAGCTTAATTATTGATGATTAGTTTTATTCCGTGATTTGCCTGTCGATTAGTTATTGTGCTGCATTCTAACGATTTTAACGAGTGATTGATCACATCAATACACAAGTGATTGCCGGCACTGTTTTCTTTCTGATAAAGTTCATCTGAAATAAGTCTATTCAGGAGTCAAGAATCCAAGTAGAGAGAAATAACTGTACCCTACAAGTTCAAGAGGTCGGTTATAACAATATAATCTACTGAATTTCTAGCGTTGGAACTTCGGTAGATTTCATAAATTATTGTATATATATATATATGTATATATTTCATAAATTACTATATATATATATATATATATATATTATACATATATATATATTATATGTATAATATATATATATATTAAAAAACACGAAGTTCGTCAATTCAGTGTGTAACAGGCAACCACATTTACATTTATCTACCTGGATGACTTAACAGGCAAACTTTTTTATATTAGCCCAACACAGTTTTTTTTATGGACACCTGTTTTAGTTTTTACCAGTCATCTGGTATAAAACCTCTTTGCCACATTCTTTTGCATAATACATTCATAATTTTTACTTCAGCTTCGCCACTTGTCTTCATCATTTCTGTTAAAACTAGATTTGTTCTGGGTGATTATATTTTCATACTTACAATAGCTTGTCGAAACGTTGAAATATTTTTGCACACATTTTTAAATGGCTTATAATAATATAAATATTAGCTATAAATTTCTTATTTTTAAATCTACTAAACATTCAATTGTCTTTTTTGTGCCCTTTTTGCCTAGGTGTCTCATTTTTCGAAGCTTTGTCTTGTTGAGATTGCGCTTATGTAAGAGAACACCGAACCCGGAAGAGCAGTGAGCGGGAGAAGAAAAGAATAGTGTTCGTTTGGATAGGCTGGACACGTGTTTCGTCCCTACCGGGGACTCATCAGCAGGCCGAATACCTATCAGAATAGTTATTGCAGTCTCTTATATAGCCCGCACAAATCACTTCGTTAGCTCGTGGTGTTTTATTTACTATTGAGGATTGTTAGATTTAATCGTTAGCTCGTGGTGTTTTATTTATTATTGAGGATTGTTAGATTTAATCGTTAGGATTTGCAATCCGACAGTCTGAAAAAGTGTCGTTAAAAATATTAGTTTATATTTATATCAAATTTGAATCTACTTACTTAAAAATTAAACTCAGCCGTACGAACATGAAATTGACGAGTAATAATAACCGTGCACGCATATGTTTAGTTAAGTATCGTGCACACGAAAGCTAATGAAATGATAGAACTCAAAATTTATCAATTCGTGCACGCAATCACACTTGTAGTGCCTCAAGTTGGTTAGCTCTCAATAAATTAGCTTTAGCGTACTAGGATGTATTAAGTTTATAGATTTGTTATTTTAAACACGTAAAAATTAAGTTACATAAAATATTAATATAGTAATGAAGATCGAATTACTCACAAAATATTAAAAAGAAAGAGAAGATTTGTTTGGTTTGTAACCATTGAGTAGGCATGGGAACATTTGGAGGACATGCGCTGCCAGGATCATTTTTTATTTTATTTTCATTATGGTGGACAGTGCAAACATTTCGAAGATACTACAAGTCTTTAAAGAATGGATGCACGCCTTACAGATCTACTGTCGCATTTGCACCAGACTGCTTACCGTGTAAAAAATGCAATAATGTTATGATTGAAGGAATATTAAAAGTAGTTTTTACGTCACTGGGTCTTGTGCTAGAGGCTAAATCTGGATTTAAAAACGGCCATTTTACATATTCAGACAATGGACAACACGCCACAATGTATTTCTTCTTCGGTCTCTCAGGTGTGGTTGATACCCTGATGCATCATGGCTTCTCAATGCCAGAAAATACAGATTACGCAGTGGGTTGTTTGTCTTTTGTAGCTGAAGATGTACTTTTCACGTTCCACCTGCATGGAAGAACTGAGCTGGATGTTGCCGTGCACACACTCCTTGTGTACATCATACATGCTTGCGTTGTTTGTGTTCTCGTTGAAGCCCGTTATAAAAACAATGTGATTGTTACACTGTCCAGATGTTTTTTTGTACTTCTACAGGGGACATGGTTTTGGCAGATTGGTTTTATACTGTATCCAAATCCAAATGCCGTTCGGTGGAAAAACGGTGATCATAACGAAATAATGCTAGCAACAATAATATTTGCCTGGCATATAGCTATCGATTTTATTTTAATTCTTTTAATTGGTTTGTTAGTCAGAACATTTGGTTCTTTCAACTGTTCGACAGGCATAGATAAAAATGATTGCACATTGAGCCAAGTCGAAATTGATCAGGTATTATTGCTCAATAAAATTTTATTTCAGTAATTTATAATTTTTTTAACTCAAAACAACTTGATCCTTATACTCCAACGGTATATTCTGTTCATTCTGTTCAAGTATAAACTGAACAGGTACTATAAGGTTGCGGTAATTGCAGGTTTGTAAGATTCAGCATATGCTGAGTTCATTCCAACCCCCCCTGCTAGCGATGGTAGACTTGCATCAGTCAACAACCAGTGTGACATTAATTAAACAAAAAATATATAAACGTAGCAATAATTTTATTTTAGTTTACATTTTCTATCACAGGTCGATGACGAAAGATGACGCGATGAACAACGAAGGACATTTAAATGAAAGGGAGAAAGGGAGGTGAAAGAAAAATTTAACTTGGCCAATAGGAATTAAAATTTTTTGAAAATTTTCTAACGAATACTTTTTTAAGTTTAATTAATTTTTATTCATTATACTCACCAATGTTAGTAACCTTAATTATCAACATATCACAAAGTTTATTATTTATGCTTTTTAACAATGTTTTATTAATGAGACATACATTACATATATTTTGAATAATATTTATTATTGTGAAAAACAATCAACATTCAACTTTTTTGTCAACACTTTTGACAAATTTTAAGCGCTACATAAATAATAATTTTAAAATGTTATTATTATTTCAAATTGAAAAGTTTTATTGAAAATCATTCTGCGTTGAATGGAATGTTTTTGATTCACACAAAGCACTTCAAATTTTGTCCAACGTCCATTTTGTTGAATACCATTACGAAGAACCAATAATATTTTTTATACATTATAGTGGTAGCAATAAATGATTAACCAATTTGATGACCTGTGGAAAGTACTTTTGACGGAAAAGCGGTCTTAACATTTTTGAAAAAATTCCTAAATATTCCGTACAATCTATTTTTATTACTTTTCATAGCTGGTTAGGGGGCTTTAGGGATGCATTCTTTCATTCTTTCTCTCTGAACTGTCACTTAACTGTCACTTAAGAGCATATGAAGTAGCGGATTTTTACTATTCTTTTTATTATCTTACCTGATTCAAAAACTCTTAATGTTTCTCATAAGTTTTGTAGTCTAGGCTTTATCTTTGATTCATTCTAGCATGTCTTTTCTCAGATTAATAGTGTTTCTAGAAGTTCATATTTTCATCTATGTAGAATAAAAAAAAATTTTGCCTTTTCTTGACGGTCTACTCTTCTCCTTCTTGTTACTTTCTTAGTCTTATCGAGGATTGATTAATGTAACTCGCTCTTCTATTGTCTTTTTGATTTTACACTCTATTCTTTAAGTAAAGCTTTTAACTCTGCTATTCGTCTAGTTGCTCGCGCCCCTTTCTTTTCCCATATATCTCCATTTCTTGTTCTCTTGCACTGGCTACCTATAAATTATGAAAGAATTTTTAAAATTTGCACATTTATGTGTAAGTGTCAATCTAAATTATTTACTATGTACTTATCAAATATATTAATTGAACCTAAACGCCCCGGTTTAGGATTGTTGTCTTGTTCCCACTTCTTAACTCGTGTTAAACACTCATTTGCTAAATCTGCACTTGCTTTTTCTGGCCCTTTTTTCTGGAACTTTCTACCTACTTTTCTGACTACTTCTCCATAAGTTTAGAGCGGATCTCAAAACCCATCTGTTTGCAAAATTCATTGAGGAGCGCTGTTGAACATCGCGGAAATAGGTAGGTAGGTAGAGGCTTAATCCGCCCCGTTTAAACTATACAATACAGTTATCGATGTATTTGTTTAATAGTTTTGTTTGTATATATTACATTAAAAAAATCTTACAGAGCTATATGATGTTCAGATGTATGTAAGGATCGCAAGTCTTATGTTAAACATTTATTGGACCTCTCTCTTTTATTCACTGTCTCTTTTTTGCTAATTTACAATTTTGCATGTCGATTGTTGAAGGTAAGTTCAGTTAGGAAGATGTAAAAGTTGCAGGTTGCATGTGTGTCAGGTCGAGATAATATTTTGACAGATCAGATGATCGAATTGTTAGAATTAAATATCGAGACCAAATATTAGGAAAGAAATGATCACAAAGTCATTATTTGGTAAAACGAAAGATGATCAAGATGTCCATGCGTTAGATTTTGAATGTCATGTTTTAATTTTTTTTTTATTTTGACATGATATCAAGATTCATTTACTTTACTTTACTATTTACTTTAGTTTTAGTTTAGTTTTAGTTTATTTTTATAATATATAAATAATTAAATATACAATACATTTATATACTTATACTATATTATAAAATTTATTTATAACAAATATGCTATAATATATATTTATAAATAATATTTAATATAATACATTTATAATTAATATTTGTTTATTTTTATAAAATGTAACAATAATTAAACTTGGTAGTGGCATTAATTAATAATAAAAAATGGTACATTTTCTAATTTTCTTATTTTAGTTAAAAACTAGATTACCTAATTAGTGCATTTTCAAATCACCAAACTTTATTTCCTTACATGAAGTAACTGTATTAGAGCACACTAACATCAATAATTTAAATACATTTCCATTTTTATTTAATTACATATTTTGCTGATTGTAATTTCAGTTTAACCTAATAATTCAATTTAAAAATTTTATTTCTTTTATGTTGAAGGTATGAGTTAAAGAATGAGAATGGCACTTCCATTACAATTCTGACCTTAGGTGGCATCATACAATCCATAAAGGTTCCTGATAAAAATGGAAAGTTTGATGATGTGACGACAGGATTTGATAATGTGGCAGGTAACTTCTTAAAAGGAAATGTTTTTAATTTCTTTGAATAATTCATATTTTAAAAATATCTATGCTTCTTGAAAATATTTATATCACATTTCAATCTCACAATTTAAAAGTGATCTAAATACTGCTCACATAAGACATAATGTTTAAGTGCCTAGACAATTTTTAAATAACTTGATGAATAAACGAAATTATAGAGCAATCTATTTTTATATAACCATGATTTTGTTTCATTGTTTTTTATTAAATATACTCTAGTATGATAGGTCCTCTTTTACTAGTTAACTTGATCAATTTTTATTTTACTTTTTTTTTTTCACTTTTGCAATTATTTTAACCTTAATTTATTGAAAAGAAGGCAAATGAATTTACAAGATTACGAGGTCAATCCCGCTTACTTTGGAGCCATAATTGGGAGAGTGGCAAACAGAATTTTTAGAGGGGAGTTTGACATTGATGGGGTCACCTACAGGGCTTCCCTCAACCAGGAGCAAGCCTGTCTGCATGGAGGTCTTTAAGGGTTTGACAAGGTTCGTTTCTCTTGTATCAGAAATTTTAAGTGAATAAGTCAAATAAAAAACCGAAGCTGTTTTAATTTAGTACAGGTTGGAAACAGTAGAATGAATCAATGTGTATGCAATGTATGTTATTATTATTGTTATTAATATCATTGTTGTTGTTATTACTATTATTATTATTATCTTCGGCGATTCATATAGCGCTAATTATAAAAATTAAATTTTTCTCAGAAGCACGTTATGAAAAAATTACAAAATTTAGATACGATACTGATGTTAGTTGAGATAACAAAAAACATAGAGCAAAAAATAAAATTACATTAAATGAGCAAAATATTGTTGTTGTTGTTGTTGCTCATGTCTCGAACTGTGACGTATTCTGATCACGTGCTTACTCAGGTGACCACATCGTAGAATTCAGCATCGATACACTTTCGTATATAATACGTATTTGTCTGTGTGTGTGTGCGTGCGTGTGGATGTGTACGTAGGTGTGTGTAGCTCTGTATGACAAAGTGGTTAATTCCGAGCAATTGTACAAATGGTCAAATTAATTTATTTTTTATATTTCATTCGACAGAGAACTTTTTATATTTTGTTCGAGAGGGCAAGTTTATATGCTGAAAAATGTCGTTATACAGTCTTGAAATTTAACTAAACGTCTAATTTGCTGCAGTAAATTTAATTAATTAATTAATTTTTAAGTTTTTATGAAAATGCGTCTAAACAACTTAAAACACCATCGTGTTAATATTCACGTTAGGATTTACGATTTTTTTTCGAGCCGAGCAACCATCGAAAATGCGTTGAAATTGGTTGAAATTTTGAAAAAAATATTCGGAGACTTTGGGGGCCACCTGTCGGTCGAATTGAAAAACAAAAGATTTTATTGCTGGATGTTTGTATGTATTATTCTAAACTTTTTTGATTTTCTGTTTTACCCGTTGTTATTCATTCGAGTTATTCATTTTATGGTTAATCATTTGAGTTAATCGTTTTTTATAGTTTATTATTATTAATTTCATCGTTTTTTCCATAATAGCTTCCAATGTGCGCGCTTGTATGTGTGTCTGAGTGTGATTCTGTTTGAAATAGGGATGAAGAGATCGAGATATGAAAAAAGTTAGCTAGCATCAAACCATTGTAGGTTGTTGTATTCATGGTTGCGAGAGGAAGAGATAAAGATGAAAATGAAAATGAAAGGTTTATTTATATTGTGATCGGGAGTATTTGTTTTTGTTAAAGATGAATTAACCAGTGGCGATGTGTTAGTGCTTCCACCATCCAGACCATGAAAGAATGAAGATTCTGTAAAATATCGCCACATCATAATTTAATTTAATGTAAATGAGAATTAATGAATAATGTTCATCATCTTAATAATTTTGGAAATCATCCCTCGCCGAGACATGAATTATCAAAAGTATATAAAAAAGGTCATCAACTTTGGAATTTAAAAAAATATCTCTTCTGCTTTAAGGTTTGCGATTCGCTTCTGGGAGTAGCCAATTTATTCAGTGCGAATCATTTTATATTCCATTCGACAGAGCAATGTTTGATATCTTGAAAAAGTCAAATTTAAGCAGTATAAGTATAAATTGACCAAAACGTCAATCTAGTCACTGCAGTAAATATTTTTTCTATAATTTTTTTGAATTGAAAATGCGTTAAACACCAACATCTTAGTTTTCTTTTTAGGGTATAAAACTATAAATAATTTTTTGTCGACATATTAACTAGATGCTTATGTAACGGAAATTTGGAGGCCATCTGTCGATCGAATTAAAAACTTAATGAATTGATCGCTCACAAATTTTAATTTTCAAGAATTTTTTATTCTTCTGGACTCCCCATTGTTAATTAATTTGCGTTTGATTTTGATCATCGATCTTTGTTTTGTTGAAAATGATTAAACAATTTATTAAGAATTAATACTTACTAGCATTACTTCACTAACAACAATCTTTATGATTAATTAATTAACTAATGGTTAATTAACAAATTAATTAATTCGTTTAATTCAAGTTACATTTATAAGTTATGTATATCTGTCAAACTTCAGTATTCTCTCTGAATTTAATCCCATCTCAGCAATTTTAATGACCTTTGTTTTGGTAAAATTGGAGATTTCGATTTGTTTCTTGCACGGCTACTTCAACCGAAAAACTCGAAACCGTTCCTCGGTTTGCGGATTACTAAAAATTGGATTTTGTTTTTATAAATCATTCCATAGAGCAAGTTTAATAAGTAAATATTCATTCAATTAGTGTTTGTTTTCCAAAAAATAGAAATCCTTTATTACGGTTAATTTATTTTTAATATTTTTTAACTTCGGAAGTATAAAGTTCATAAAATCATCCACGACACCACTACCTTACGTTTCACCTCGGAACATATGTCCTCAAGCGATTAAATTCTATGGCTTGTCGTGCGAATCTCTTTTTAGCTATGTAAATTCACTGAATTTGAAGGCTGTTTTACAGCCGAATCAATTGAAATTTTAATCGTGTGTGTTAGTCTTTATATAATTCAATTACATCGTTTGCTTTCAGTTCTAGAAGATGGAAAAATTTGGTTTTTTAAAAAGTATGAAGACTGAAATTTGAAAGATGAAGATGCTTCCCCCTTCCAGATCTGAAAGAATGAAGATTCTGTATAATACTTTACGCCATAATTTTTAGTGAACGGAAAATAGTGTCATCAATTGTAGACTTGAAAATTGAAAATCGTCTCCGCAAAAACATAAATTAGCAGGAAAAATTGACAAAAAAGGTTATCAACTCTGAAATTCAAACGAGGATTAATGAATAATGTTCATCAACTTAATAATTTTGAAAATCATCCCTCGCCGAGACATGAATTATCAAAAATATATAAAAATGGTCATCAACTTTGGAATTTAAAAAAAATATCTCCCTTCTACTTTAAGATCCGCGATTCGCTTCTGGGAGTAGCCAATTTATTCAGTGCGAATCATTTTATATTCCATTCGACAGAGCAATGTTTGATATCTTGAAAAAGTCAAATCTAAGCAGTCTATAGTATAAATTGACCAAAACGTCTGATTCACTGCAGTAAATATTTTTTCTATAGTTTTTTTGAAAATGCGTTAAACTAACGTGAAACACCATCATCTTAGTTTTCTTTTTAGGGTATAAAACTATAAATAATTTTTTTGTCGACGTATAAACTAGATGCTTATGTAACGGAAATTTGGAGGTCATCTGTTGATCGAATTAAAAACTTAATGAATTGATCGCTCAAAAATTAATTAATTCGTTTAATTCCAGTTACATTTATAAGTTATGTATATCTGTCCAACTTCAGTATTCTCTCTGAATTTAATCCCATCTCAACAATTTTAAGGACCTTTGTTTTGGTAAAATTGGAGATTTTGATTTGTTGCACGGCTATTTCGATCGAAAAACTCGAAACAGTTCCTCGGTTCGCGAATTACTAAAAATTGGATTTTGTTTTCATAAATCATTCCATAGAGCAAGTTAAATAAGTAAATATTGGTTCAATGTATGAGTGTTTTTTGCAAAAAATAGGAATCCTTTATTACGGTTAATTTATTTTTAACTTTTTTAACTTTGGAAGTGTAAAGTTCATAAAATCATCCACGACACCACTACTTTACGTTCCCCTTCGGAACATATGTCCTCCTCAAGCGATCGACTACTACGCGTTGTCGTCGTGCGAGTTCCGCCTTTTAGATATGTTATTCACTGAATTTGTAGGCTGATTTAAAGCCGAATCAATTGAAATTTTAATCGTGTTTGTAAGTTTCCATATCATTCAAATTCAAGCATACATCGTTTGCTTTCTGTTCTAGAAGATAAAAAAATTTTGTTTATCAAAAAGTATGAAGACTGAAATTTGAAAGATGAAGATGCTTCCCACTTCCAGATCTGAATGAGTGAAGATTCTGTATAATACTTTACGCCATAATTTGTTGTGAATTGAAAATAGTGTCATCAATCGTAGACTTTTGAAAATTGATAATCGTTTACCGCCGAAACATAAATTAGCAGGAGAATAGGACAAAAAAGGTCATCAACTTTGAAATTTTGAAAATATTTATCTTCTATTGCAAAATTCGGGATTCGCTTCTAGCTGTAACCGTTTATTTATCGCGAACTTTTGTTATATTTCGTTCGACAGAGTAACGTGTGATATGTTGAAAAATGCCAGATTTAAACAGTCTCGATGTTGAATCAAAAGTTTAATTCAGTGCAGTAAATATTTTATTGTTTTGTAATTTTTTTGAAAGTGCGTTAAACTAACGTGAAAAACCATTTTAATTTTTACTTTGGTATGATTAATAATTTTTCGTCGATCAATGCAAAAAGTCCACATTTAATGCAACTTGGGTGAATTTAATGCAACTTGAGTGAACTTAATGTAACTTCATTCAATTCATTCATTCAATGATCCTCTGTAATCCCTTAAGGGACCGTTGAGGCCGATGGTATTCTTCTATCTCTCCAAAATCCTTTTCTTTCTCTCGCCATCTTCATTGAGCTCAATGTTCCAACCCCCGTCCATTCCGTGATATCATCCATCCACTTCCTCACAGGTCTTCCAGTCCCTCTTTCTCATCAGTACTTTTTTGATCAGTCTGTCGTCTGTCATTCTGCAGATGTGCCCAAAGATACCCAGCTTTCTTTCCTTGACACTTTCATACACAGTTTTTTGTCTTCCAAGTTGTTTTCTTATGGCATCGTTTCTTATCTTTTGTCTCCAACTGATTCCCAGCAACTTTCTACAACAATGCATCTCGAATGCTTCCAGTTTGTCTTTGTCTCTTTTCTTCAACGTCCAAGCCTCACATGCATACGTCAATGTAGAAAACACACACGCTTCTACGTTCTTTACCTTTGTTTTTGTAGATACATTACCGTTTTTTAATATTACTTTCAAAGATGCAAACATTCCTCTCGCGATTGCTATTCTTCTATCAATTTCTTTCGAACAATTATTGTCATCAGTTATGAGGCTGCCCAGATATATAAATTGGTTCACTTGTTCGAGCTTTTCTGCTCCTATCTGGAATTCATCATTGTTTCCACCTGCTTCCGAAATCATTATCTTTGTCTTACTGCTGTTAATGTCTAGTCCATGGTTTCTTCCACCATCGTACGTCAACTCGATCAGTTTCTTTAGACCCTCTGCACTAGATGCTAGCAGATCTATATCATCTGCAAACCTGAGGTCCCTTATCACTCTGCCTCCAATGTCGATTCCCTCAATATCTGCCTTCTCCATTTTTTCCAAGGCTCTTTCCAGCAGTGCTAAGAACAGTAATGGTGATATTGGATCTCCTTGTCTACTTCCTATGCTCGCTTTGATCCATTCTCCCAACTCTGTACCTACCTTTACCGCCATTGTTGACTCCTCATAAAGCCCTTTCAGCACCCTTACCATTTTTGTTGACACTCCCATACTTTCCAAAGCTGCCCACAAACCTTCGTGCCAGACTGAATCAAACGCCTTCTTAAAATTCACAAAACAATGAAAAGTTGTTTGACCTCTGCTTCCTGCATCTTCCAACAATAGTCTCAATTGGTGCTCCTGTTAATGCAACTTGGGTGAAATTAATGCAACATAAGTGAATTTAATGCAACTTGGGTGAATTTAGAAACCCTTTTTGGCCGATTTAATTACAATGGATTGTTTTAATAGGGGTGTACATCTGTGTGTCCTGCATTTGCATAGTTTGAAGAAAATTTTTTATTTTACTAAAAGCAGTGGGACTGAAATTCGAATGAACTTTTAAAGACTTCGGGTTCTATTGTATAGGTACATCTTATTAGGAAAGGTCAATATGAGAGCAGGCGACTAATTTATTGTTTATATACTATGAAGTTTATAATACTAGGCTACCCGCAGTTTTTAATATGTAGCTCCATTTTGTGCTATTGCGATTTCATTATTGTAATGTTTCTGCCATTCTTTGTCACTTCATCGTCAGTTCTAAGTGCTTTCAAGTTTCTAATTTTTTTTTCATTGGTTTTATCATTTGTCTCTTTAAAAAAAGTCAAGTGCAGAAATTGAACTATAGCACATGAACTTAATGCTTGCCTGGACGCGTTTTTGTCATTATACAACCACCCGCAATAATTAAAATATTTATCTGCCTTGTCGATGAATGCGCGGTTGTCAGATTGGTGCTCCTGTTACTTCCAAGTAGATTGTACGTATGGAAAGAATACGATAGGGAAATGCAAGTACAAATTCCATCCATCTTCTTTGCCCACTCATTAATTAATTATCCCGTTCATTCATTAACTCATTTTAATTTCACGCTTTTCATTTTTAATGGATTTGTTTAGTTTTGACTAATTAATTAGCCTTTACATTTTGATTGTTATGTTAGAAAATATGGAAAGCCAGCACGACATTGAACGATGATGGCAGCGAACAACTTGAACTTACTTATTTAAGTGCCCATGGGGAGGAGTCTTTTCCTGGCAATCTGCTTGTTAAGGTAAGGTTGCCAGATGGTTGAATGGTTGGTTGTTGGATCGATCCATTGGTTAATTGGTTGGTTCGTTCATCGCTTTGTTGATTGGTTAGTTGACTGACTGCTTGGTTGACTGGCTGGTTAGCTTGAGTTGAATAGATGGTTGTTTGATTGATCGATTAATTGATGGATTGATCGATTAATTTATTGATTGGTTAGTTGGTTGATTGATTGATTGATCGATTAATTTATTTATTGGTTGGTTGATTGATTGAAAATAACATTTTTAGGCAACATACAAACTGGACTGTAAAGATGACCAACTGACCCTAACCATGAATGCTACAACAGACGCGACGACCATCGTCAACCTGACTAATCATGCATACTTCAATCTTGCTGGCCATGTTAGTCAGCTCACACGACTGATGATTGATAAGTTATTGATTATCTGATTGATTGGTTGGTTGGTTGGTTGGTTGATTGGCTAGCTGTTCATTGGTTGATGTATTGGATGTTTGATGAATCGGTATATTGGTTGGTTGATCGCTTGATCGCTTGATGAATTGATGTATTGTTTTAAATTGTTTGATTGATTGTCAACAAATCAATCTATGAAACAACCAACCAACGAATCAGCAATCAGCCAGCATAAACGAGCACAAGTTGCAAATGTTTGCCTCCCACTACCTACCCAAAACTTCTTCAGCCGTCCCCGACGGTTCGTAAACTATGTTGTTGCATTTCCTGTTCATCATCGGTGTATATTATCCCACACACACACCACGCACACACCACACACACACACACCACAAACACACCACACACACACCACACCACACACACACGTGAATGTCGTTGTCGTCAGATGGTTGGGTTGCCATTGATTTGATCAAATAACTTCTTTACTAATTGATCTTCACTGGCAGTCTGCTAGACGACAGAAGAATTATTTTCAAGTTGACTGCTTCGGAGTGCAAATACAACCATGGCCTGATTTCAAAGTACTGAGCCGTGACAAACCTCATCACTGAACAAACCTCATCACTGAACAAACCTCTTCACGAACCTCATCGCCTGCAACTTCATCACCTCGATCTGCTTATTACCTTTTCCTCAAACTCAGATGCTGGTCAGGGGTTGGATCTTAAATTATTTCACAACCTTTAATGGAAAGCAGCTTTCTTTATCGTTTAAAAAACCGTGATTCGTTGATTTTTGAATCGATTTATAAGTAGGATTCTTCATTTTCAAGCGGACTTACTCGGCCACGCGGATCAGCCTCACACTTGCTAATGTTTATGTAGTTTCATTATTAGTAGCGTCTTTAAGACTGTACAGAAAGACTTTAGAGGCAAAAATATGATCAAACAACAACAAACATAAACAAATGAACAACAACAACAAACAAAAACAAACAAAATAAACTAGCATACATACAGACAAACAGACCGGCAAACAAACAAACAACCAAAAAACAAACAAACAAACAACCAAAAAACAAACAAACAGGGACAGTGGCCCCTGTGGCTCTCACAGCCCTGGACTTTTCCTCACCGAAGTATTTGAAGGGAGCAATCGGGATGGTTGTTGAGGCTGGTGTGCACGGAATCGACCACAACTTCTGCTTGAAGATGGCGGCTGGTGCTGATAATGATGGTAAAGGTGGTGCTGATAATGATGGTAAAGGCGGTGCTGATAGTGATGAAATTCGTCACGGTAAATTTTTTTACTTTATAACTTATATAACATAACATATTATAACTTGAATAACGAGACACTAATTGTTGGTCCTATGCCTCTGGCATATTATGCCCTTCGAATTAAAAGAATAAATAATATTTATTTAAATAATAATAATAATGGTTATACAATAATAAATTAATTATATAATTATATTTTATTATTATATTATGACGGTGTAAGATTGTGGTGTTGGGTTTGAATTTCTTGGCGTCGTATTCGTATTGTATTCAGATTTTTTAAAAATAAACCTATAATAATAACGTTTGTTATTTATGGTTATTATTATTATTATTATTTTAATAAATATTATTATAATCAATTTTAAAACCAATTAACTCTGGTCGTTCTCTCTCGATTCGAATGATGACCTCTTCAAATTAATATTCTCTTTATTGTGTTTGACATGTTTTTTTTTATTTCACTATTTTATTTTATTTGTACTATCATTTTCATTGATTTTATTGCTGAATAAAAGATCGTTCCCATTATTATTATTACTATTATTATTATTATTATGTGACAGGAACAAGCTATGATGCTAATTAAATATATTTCACCGTTCTGCTCTTAACTTCACAATGAGCAAAATGGTCTTAACCTTTAATATTATTTTATACAATTTTTAAAAATTTTATCATTGCGCATTATTTAATTAACATTAACTTATATATATATATATATATATATATATATATATATATATATATTTATCATTGTATGTTTTTTTATGGTGAAAAATAAAAGGTGTTCCCATTTTATTTGAAGCTGCTCGTTTGGAAGATGAGATAAGTGGAAGGGCTCTGGACATCCACACCAACCAGCCAGGTAGGTACCATTCCTTTGTATTATATTTCATTTCAAATGTTTTTTTTCATCATTTTTTTATTCATTCATTCATTTATTCGTTCGTTCGTTCATTCATTTATTCATTCATTCATTCACTTATTCGTTTTCTCGTCAATATCATTTTTTTCATTTTTAGCCATCAGCTCTTTCGTTTATTCATTCATGTGACAGACTTCGTAACGTCTCGCTATTTTTCTTTCATTTGCCGTTCTGTTTGTTCACAGACTGACTATTCACAAACGAACAAACAAACGAATGAACGAACGAACGATTAAATGAACGAACGATTAAATGAACGAACGAACGAACGAACGAATGAATGAACAAACAAATAGACGAATAAATGAACAAGTGAATGAATGAACAGACGAATGAACGAACAAAAAAAAATAAAGGAAGAATATTAAATCGCGAGTGACGATTGATTTTAAATTCATTTCATAAGAAACAACAGGCTTCGTCGTGTTATTCTAGGTAAAACTAGCTACTTCGGCGTGTAGGAGTACTTGGAAGATGTACAGAAATAATTTAGAAGAAGGGTCTTTGTAAAATTTTTATTTGAACAGTTGAAAATTTTTATTTTAAGGAGTTGAAAACATAGTAGCAGGGGAAGGGTAGGGATTCAAAAAAGAACTCGTGACAATCTCTATGAACAGTCCCTGAACGAACAGGCATATGAACGAACGAACGAACAAATGAGAAACAACGAAAATAAATAGACAAACAAAGAAACGCACAGATGAACAAACAATTAAACAAACGAGCAAATAATTATCAAACAAACATTCAAAACGATCAAGCGAACGAACTGGCAGACAAACAAACTACCAACAGGTATGCAGATATACACAGGCAACTATCTTGATGGACTGAGTGGAAAAGAAGGAGTCAAGTATCGCCAGCATTCTTGCATTGCATTGGAGCCACAACTCTGGCCCGACGCCGTTCACCACGTCAGTGATGATGATGGGGTGATGATGATGATGATGGGGTGATGATGATGATGATGGGAGTGGGGATGGTGGTGGTGATGATGATGATGGGGTGATGATGATGGGGTGATGATGATGGGGTGATGATGATGATGAGGAAGGGTGACGATGATAAATTGATGATGATGATGATGGGAGGGTGGTAATGATGATTTTAATTATCAAACTGTTCACAAACCAACAGGCAAACTTTCCAAGCATGCTGCTGAGAGCTGGCGAGATGTACAAGCATATCACCATCTACAAATTTTCCACTAAATAACTTTTTTTTTATATCTTTCATTCACTCACTCGTTCATTCATTCGTTCGTTCATTCATTCATTCGTTTATTCATTCGTTTATTCATTCGTTTATTCATTCATTCATTCATTCATTCATTCATTCATTCATTCGTTCATTTGTTCATTCATTCATACTTATCTTAATCCCATTTTCAAACATTGAATGCAGGTTATTATTAATTACAATAATAATCATGTTTTTTTTTTTATTATTATTATTATTGTTATTATTATTTCATCTCCAAATGTTATAACATTAATGACATAAACTCCAAAACCCATGTAACAGATTGTTCGAAGAATATATCTGTAAATATATTATGCATACTTACAAACATACATACTATACATACATACTTACATACCTATATATATACATACATACATACCTACATACAAACAAACAAACAAACAAACAAACAAACATGCATACATACATACATACATACATACATACATACATACATACATACATACATGCATACCTACATACAAACAAACAAACATACATACATACACACACACATACATACATACTTTTGCAAACATACTTTTGCATACATACACAGAGAGAAACACATATACATACCTATATACATAGATGCGTGCACACATACATTCCGTAAACATACATACATGTTATTTTTCTTATAATATTGTGTCCCCTGCCAAATGTTTTGAAGTGAATTTAAATAAAATAACTAATAAATAAAAGAATTAATAAATAAATAAAAGAATATTATAAGATTTTAATGTTATGATTGTCACTCAGCTAAAAGTTTACTGATATGTTTGATATTGATCACAATGGAATAAAGTTCTGGTAGCAATGAAGTGATGGTTTTTATTCACTGTTTCCAATGTGGCGTTCTATAAATTTATAACAAAATTGATTGGTTGTTTGATTGGTTGGTTGGTTGATTGATTAATTGGTTGATTAATTGATTGATTGATTTATTCATTCATTCATTTATATTGTATGATCATGATTGACTTTAATTGATCAATCCGATAATGCTGATTGGCAATAGAGAAGTGAATAAATAAATTTATCGATTTTATAATTAATTGTTTCATTCATTCACCCCCCTATCACTCATTCATTCATCCATTTCATTCATTCATTATCTATTCATCCATTCCTTCACTTATCATTCATTCATTCATCCGTTTTTTCCATCCATCTACGATATCTAATACAAACTTCAACATGTATGATTTCATTTCAAATGTTAATGAAGCAGAGAATGGGGATGGTGGTGATGAATGGATGGTGATGGCTGGATGGGACTGATCCATTCACTTGATGATCAGATGAATGGATGGATGAATGAATTGATGAATAGATGGATGCTTTTTGGTTGCACGAATGAATGAAAAATTGAATGCTTATGTAATTTAAGTTGAATTTGACCAATATGAAAAAAGTTACGGATGAACGAATGAATGAAATGAATGAATGAATGATTGAATGAATGAATGAACAAACGAATGAATGAACGAATGAATGAATGAAAGATAGTATGAATTAATGAATGAATTAATGATTTATTACTTATTCGTCAATTAATTATAAAATTAAAAAAACGTTTGACGTAAAGGCTAATCAATTATAAAAAAGTGAATTTAATTGAATTAAAAAAAAGTTTATGGTGCCAACTTGTTGCTTCTTTATTCGCGACAATCACTTGAACGTCCGCTACCTCACCTTCTAATTTGGGGATTTGCCCTTGACGTTGAAAATGATGACTTGTGATTGGTTGGTTGGTTGGTTACGTGTAGTGATTGGCTGGTTAGTTGGTCACGTGTAGTGATTGGTTGGTTAGTTGGTCACGTGTAGTGATTGGTTGGTTAGCTGGTCACGTGTAGTGATTGGTTGGTTAGTTGGTCACGTGTAGTGATTGGCTGGTTAGTTGGTCACGTGTAGTGATTGGTTGGTTAGTTGGTCACGTGTAGTGATTGGTTGGTTAGTTGGTCACGTGTAGTGATTGGCTGGTTGGTTGGTCACGTGTAGTGATTGGTTGGTTAGTTGGTCACGTGTAGTGATTGGTTGGTTAGTTGGCCACGTGTAGTGATTGGCTGGTTAGTTGGTCACGTGTAGTGATTGGCTGGTTAGTTGGTCACGTGTAGTGATTGTTTGGTTAGTTGGTCACGTGTAGTGATTGGTTGGTTAGTTGGTCACGTGTAGTGATTGGTTGGTTAGTTGGTCACGTTGATTATGTGTGTGTATGTGTGGTGTGTGTGTGTGTGTGTGTGCAGCATACCATCATCTTCAAGAGAACGCTTTTTTATTTTCTTTTTGATAGTTTTCTTGCCTGAGTTTTGATGGTCAACGTGTTTAGTTTCCGCTTTCTTTGCTGTTGTTTTTGTGGCTTCTGCTCTTTCATCGTTCACTGCCAATTTCGCTTCGGCTTCTGCCACTTTTTGTATTTCCAATTTTGACGTCGCGGTTGTTATTGTTGAAGTGAAAGCCAACTTTCTGGTGGTGGCGGTAGTGGCGGCGGCGGTGGCGGTAGTGGGTGTTTTTGTGGTCTCTGGGCTAGCAGGTTTGGTTGTGGTTGTTGATGCTTTAGTGGTGGTAGCGAGTGTTGTTGCCATGGAGTCATGTTTTGTTGTGGCCGTTGTCGCTAGAGTAGTGATTGTTGTCGTCAACGTAGTCGTTGCAGTTGGTTTTGTGGTTGTTGTTGTTGTTATTGTAGTGGCATCAGCAGCTGATTTCGTTACTTTCGTAGTTGCTGTAGCTGACGTTGTGGCCGGGTTCAAGGCTCCCAGCGACAAACAAATCGTCGTGAGGCAGTAGTGATTCATCTGGGGAAGAAGATATAATTTATTAGTACTACATCATCTGCGTGGTCTCAATGTATTGAAGATGTAGCATTGTATAATGGTAATATTAACACTTTTAAAATTAACTCGAAGTATTCAGTCACTATAACAGAGATGATGACGACGAATACAAAATCGTCGATAAGTTATGAAGTGGGTGTGGGTGGATGACGTCATGTGGGTGATTGAGGTGATGGAGGAGGTGAAGAAGATGGTTATGTAGGCCTGGTAGGATGATACAGCAGGGATGATACAACAATAGATATTCAAAAAAATGCTTTTATTGAAAATATGATTAAGATGCTTCAATATTTTCGGATTCGACTCTCACTCAAGTTAATCAAAATTATTTATTAAGCTATTACGCCTTGGAAATTTTTTAAGTGATTGAAATTGATAACTTATTTTAAATATTAGTAAGTTACTTTCTTTATTTCAAAATTTTATCTTATAAATTACTTCTTTTAAAGTAATTTCAAATGTTTTTTGATGAATAACTCACCTTAGTAATTTTTGAAGCTTGCCAGATGCAATGCTTGCTGCTTGCATGCTCGTGAAAGTAAAATGACACTACACCAAGAATATTTATTTTATTTTATACTAACACATAGAAGACTACACGCAATTATACCACACACACACACACACACACACACAGCACACACACACACACACACACACACACACACACACACACACACACAC